TTGTATACTAAATGTACATTATTTGATACTATATAAAATAATTTATTTTTTATTAATCTAAGGTACATTTTTAATATACTAAAGTTACTTTTTTCGTGTATTAAATTACATTATTTCATAGTATACAAAATAATATATTTTTAGTACACGAATAATGTACTTTTAATATATTAAAACTGTATATTTTATTAAGAAAAAGTACATTATTTAATTAGTAAAAGTATATCAGGACTATGTGGTGTAATGGTACCCGGGTTGAATTTTCATTTGGAAGGTTGTAAGTTCGAGCCTCAATGGAGGTGTTATTAGCTTGTTGTGTTTCAGTAGGTTGAGAAAGTATATGAATAGATACTACAATGTTATAGAGCTAGTAGCATTCAAAAAAAAAATTAGTAAAAGTATATTATTATGTGTATGATATATATTCAGTACACAAATAATACATTTTAATATTATATAAAAAAAAATATTTTTCTTATGATTTATACATCACTGGATGGTCCATACTATAATTGCATATATGGATCATAATGGGCCAGATTTCTAGTTCATTTAGCAAAAGGCCCATTTGTATCCACAGTCACTCACATTAATCACATACGTACATCCTAACAAATTATATCGTGCACCGCGGTGCATAATCGATTATGCACTACGCATCAAAATGACATCGTTTTATTTAATGAAAAGAAATAACAATTGTTTCACACCGTTCCGTAAAAAATAACTTTGTTATTCAGTTTCATTTTGTATACACTGCAGTTTCAATTCAACACAACTACAGTTTCATTTCGATATAACTACAGTTTCATTCAATATTTATACACTCAAATATGTGAAAAATATTATTTAATCTTATTTTATATGCACTATAGGTTCATTAAAGCACAACTACATGATCATTTCGATATAATTACAGCTTCATTGTACAATATACACTCAAATATGTGAAATGTTATTAAGTTTCATTTTATATATACTGCAATTTCATTTCACCACAATTATAGTATCAATTTGATATAACTTCAGTTTCATTTGATAATATAAAAATAATACGTGAGACAATATCGGTTTAGATGCACTGTAGTGTCACTCCGTTAACACTAACAGTGTGCCGTTTTTCTACTTAAAAATATGACGTTGTTTTGACTGTGATGCATATATACTACGGTCCACGATATAACGATTGGTACATCCTCGTCAACAATTCAACAAAGAATTGAAAGTTCATGTGACCACAATAAGTTTCATATGACGTATGCGCCAATGTAATATCCACCCGTTCTGGATTTCTCCACTGTTCCACCCACCAATACTTCCCATTGCTATAAGTCAATAACAGCCGGTCAACCACTACCCTTTCAATATTGCATAAATCAAATATAAAAGCTGTATTCTTTTGTCTTATTTATATTGCACAAACGTTATTTATAATTAATGTCACAATATTATATATAAAGTAAATTATATATTATATATATAACATAAAAATTAAGACACATAACATCATTTAATCATTTAATTTTAGTCATTAATATTTTACAAAGTACTGATCTTATGTACTTTATTATTATAAATTGCCTAATAAGTTATTTTAATTAACAAGCTTCAATCATACTCAAACTATAAAAAACTTACGGAGTATAAATTATTGAAGATTGTTAAAGTACAATTTATTATCGATATTTTTTTTTTTGTACGAAACATTTTTATTTTTGATAATCTTGTACGTAACATTATTTCAATGTAAATAGAAAAATTTTGAATTTGTATCAAATATTGTAGTAATTTTCCTTATAGTTACACTTTACATATTTTTTAAGGACAAAAGATAATTGAAACTACAATTTTACAAATTTGACTTCTAGCACGAACGACTTATTGATTTTATAGTTCTACTAAACAAACTCTCAAATTCTACTCCATTGCTTGTACTTCTTGAGGTGGCAATTCTACTCCCTAGCTTGCTTGTACTCCTTGAGGTGGCAAACAAGGATTGGTTAGTTTTCATCATGTGAGTCTACAGAAAAGTGTCTACAAAAAAAAAAAAAACATGTGAGAAGGAGTAAAAGTTGAAAGTATAAAATGGAAGTACACTAAATATTTTTCTTAATTTGATTGGTTTGAGTCATTAGTTATGGGCAACCTAAACTTAACCTAGTTTATTTTTCTTGTGATCTTTTATCAACTAGGATAACAATGCAGAGTTCTCTCAATAATTTTGAATAACGGGTTTAAATTATTATGACATTAAGTGACGAATCACTATGCTAAACATCAGGGTCATTTATTATTAATATACAAGTGTGCTCTCATGTTCACATTGCAACGTGTGAAAATCATGGTAGTGGGCGGAAGAATCAAACATTATACAATGACCCATTCAAATTGTGGGGGAGACAAAAGAGAAATTTTCTAACAGAAGATTCCAGAAACTAAAGAGGGTGTCGGCAATTCTATAAATAACGCTCTGTTATTGAAATATCATCACTTCACTTTCCAATTCTGAATAACAGTACTTCTCGTCGGAAAAAATGGCGCTTAAGGTCCACGGAGCCATACTATCGCCGGCGGTGTTGAGAGTCGTGGCTGTCCTCAAGGAGAAAGAGCTCGATTACGAGTTTGTCAATGTTAACTTGCAAGCCGGAGAACACAAACAACCACATTTCCTTGCCCTCAACGTGAGTACAAATTTAATGATTTCGTATATAGTCTTCTCTTCTAGTACTCCTCGTCGTCCTCGAAATAATACTAATGTTCCTGTCTTTGTTACTGTAGCCGTTCGGTCAAATTCCGGCATTCGAGGATGGAGATTTGAAACTCTTCGGTAAACCTAGTATTCATTAACTGTGTTTGTGATTACCTGTTTGAGGAATACTACAATTTGATTGATGGATTATTTGCGAATTGAATGTTGCAGAGTCGAGGGCGATTACACAGTACATCGCGCACACGCATGTTGACAAGGGGACGCAGCTGATCGTCCCAGATCACAAGAAGATGGCGATCATGTCGGTGTGGATGGAAGTTGAGGCTCAGAAATTCGACCCTGCAGCTTCCAAGCTCAGCTACGAGATCGTTATAAAGCCGTTACTGGGCATGACGACGGACGATGCGGTGGTGGCGCAGTACGAGGAGCAACTAGGTAAAGTTCTCGATGTCTACGAGGCACGGTTGAAGGAATCGAAATACCTGGGCGGAGACTGCTTCACTTTGGTCGATCTTCACCACATTCCTCTCATAAACTACCTCATGGCTACTAAAGTTAAGGCCCTGTTTGATGCACGCCCAACATTTTCCGCATGGATCGCCGATATTTTGGCCAGGCCTGCCTGGTCAAAGGTTCAAGAATTGCTCAAACAGAAAACGGGATGATTTCAAACTCCCCCGGTAAATCAAACAATCACTGATGATTGAAAGATGATGTCGGCTTGTCATTTTTCAATTATTTATGTTTTGGATGTTTATCTTGTTATCTTGTACTGTGTCAGTTTTTGGTTGTGTGGGTTTTCAGAAGTGAGATTAAGCTGGCGTGTGTGTGTGATTGCGTTATTGCAATAATGTTGTAGAAATAATTAAGAAAATTGATATGATTAGATCTTTAATTTCTCTGTTCCTTAAAATCAAGTAAGCAAAAGTGCAAAACGCATGACTTTGACACTTGACAGTGGACTCCAGAGGTAGGTTTGGCGCGTGGTGGTTGTCATGTCTGCTTGGCAAGTGGCAATTATATATAGGTGGATACTGAATTGTGCGCTCTAAAAACCTCTATCTATATAATTGTAGAATAGAATACGCATAAATTCTTAATATAATACACATAATTTTAACATAATATATAAAACATAATATACATAAACTTTTAAGGTGCACAATGCATTGTGCACCTTGATACATGATATAATTTGCCTTTGCTCGTGAGGTCGGCCATCTCCTCACATGTTTAGATAGAGGTTTGGTTTTTAAAATAACTAATTTCATTTTTGGTCATTCTTCCAGGCTGAACCCCAACCCTCATTTTTGGTCATACATTTATAGGTTACAGTCCACTTTTAGTGTTTTTTTTTTTTTAATTATCAAAACACTCATTTTTTATTGGGTCATGACTATTTTCTGTCCTCATAAACAAAATAGTTTAAATTAATAGTTTAAATTTCATCGAATATAAGAGTATTTCAATTTTTAATTTGATTTTTTCAAAAAAAAAAAAAAATAAACATACAAAATATAGCAAGTCAACATATTTTTTATTTAAAAAAAAATCTTTGTATTTAACGGCATTTCAATTATTTTCTTGACGGAGAACAAACAATTGTTATGTCACAACAATACAATGATCAAATGATAATGTTCTGATAAAAAAGGATTAAAGTGGACTGTCACCTAATTTACCAAAAATGAAATTAACTCTATATTCACAATTATATCAACAATATAACACAATTTTTGAACTCTATATTCAAAAAAAAAATAAAAAAATCATTAACTAAGAAATAGTATCACTAACAACAACATTATTTGGACCTGGGGTTCACCTTGCGGTTCATGGCATAACAATTGTCCAACCGTCACTAACATTAATCACATACGGCTCGTAATGGGCCAGATTTGTAGTTCTTTTTCCAAAAGGCCCATTTGTATCCACAATCACTCACACTAATCGGTAAGGTGGACACGGTTTCGGCAAATTATGCCGTGAGCACGTGCCCACTTTACAAGGTGGGCACAATTACATATTCATAATTTTTATACTGTAGATTCATAATTTATATATTGTAAATTCATAAAATTTATATTTTAGATTTTAATTGTTAAAATTGATAACTATACAGTTTAGAAAGAGTTAATTTCACTTTTGGTCCTACATTTATTGGGCATTGGACACATTTTGACCGATTTAATTAATTTACCCAAGATTTTTCTAAAGGTGGACAATTACATTAGCTGTTAGATAGCCGTGAAGTCAAAGGGCATTTACGTCCTTTCAAGTTTTATGGGTGAGGATGGCAAAGGCCCCACTTTTGTCATCTTACACGGGAGACTTTGACTTTTCTCATTTCTCTTGCGACGAAAACCTAGGAAGGGGAATGGCGGATCGGAGCTTATCAGTCTCAGGGATGGACTTCTTCGCATCCTTGCCGGAAGGCTTCATATCCGACATCATTTCGCTCACGTCGGCAGTCGATGCCGCAAGATTATCGGTGATCTCGAAGGTATTCAAGGCGGCGGCCGAGCCGGACTCTGTTTGGGGCAGATTTCTTCTGCAAGATCTGAACGATATCCTCTTAAGATCGAGGTCTCCGGTGGTGTTTTCCAACAAGAAAGAGCTTTACTTCACCCTCTGCAACTCTCCCATTCTCCTCAACGACGGAAGTAAACTGGTGCGCCGCCCTTTTTCTGAGCTTTACTTCACCCTCTGCAACTCTCCCATTCTCCTCAACGACGGAAGTAAACTGGTGCGCCGCCCATTTTCTTCCCCCCCCCCCCCCCCCCCCATTAATTTCATTTATAATTATCACCATATCTTGACTGGAATGTGAATTATATATATATTTATATATGAATATGAATCAAACAGAGCTTTTCACTTGATAAAAGGAGTGGGAAGAAGTGCTTCATGATAGCAGCAAGAGAGCTGGATATTACACTTGGGATGGCGATTGATGTTGGGAGTAGGTTTGGTTCCGACAGCCATATTAGCGGTCGGCGTTCTCTCCATGCCGGAATCGCCGTGGTGGCTGGTGATGCAGGGCCGCCTCCGAGACGCCAAGAAAGTTTTGGACAAAACTTCTGATTCCTTGGAAGAATCCCAACAGAGATTAGCGGATATTAAAGAAGCGGCAGGCATTCTGGCGGACTGCAAAGACGACGTCGTGGAAATCAAGAAGGAGATGAGCGGCGGCAAGGGGGTTTGGAAGGAGCTTTTCGTCCATCCGACCCCGAAAATCCTGCACATTCTGTTGGCCGACATCCTGCACATTTGTTAATTCTTGAAATAAAAGTCAACAAATGAAGGCTGTGGAAGACTAACACTTGAAAGGATGTAAATGCCCTTTGACTTCACGGCTATATAACAACTAATGTAACGATGGACGTAAATTGTCCACCTTTAGAAAAGTCTAGGTTCAATGTGGGTAAATTAATTAAACCGGTCAAAATGTGTTCAATGCCCAATAAATGTAGGACCAAAAGTGGAATTAACTCGTTTAGAAATTATGAATTTACAATACATATATTATGAATCTGCAGTATAGAAATTATGAATTTACTATATCTAAATTATGAATTTACTGTATTTAAATTATGAATCTACGATTTAAAAATTATGAATCTAAAGTATAAATTTTATGATCTACGGTATAAAAATTATAGATCAACATTATAGAAATTATAATTCTACAATATAAAAATTATAAATATCAAATAACTTAGCCCACCTTACAAGGTGTGCACGTGCTCACCGCATAACACTCCTTTAAATATAAATATGTATTTTTTTACAGATATATAAGCGCGCGATATAATTTGCATATGATATATGCGCCAATGTAATATCTTTTAAATATAAATATGTATTTTTTACAGATATATAAGCGCGCGATATAATTTGCATATGATATATGCGCCAATGTAATATCCTTGTGGATTTCTCCACGGTTCCACGCCCCAAAACTTCCCATTGCTATAATACAATAACAGCCAGTCAACCACTACTACCCTTTCAACCAACAAATCAAATATAAAAGTTGTATTCTTTTATCTTATTTATATTGCACAAACGTTTATTTATAATTAATATCACAATATTATATTTAAAATACATTATAGGAATAAGGTTTAAATTGACCACTGAACGTAACCTGAAAGTGCAATTAGGCCACTGAACGAAAAAAAAGTGCAATTAGGCTACTGAACACTCCAAAAATGTGCAATTTCACCTGATAGCAGGTTACCCTCAATTTTAGCAGGTTATATGCTTACGTGGCAGCTGAGTTGGCATTTTTAATAAATTTTAATTAATTTTTAATAAATTTTAATAATAAATTTTTATTAAAAAATTTTTTAAAAAAATTAAAAACGATTTTATTTTATTTTTTATTTTATTTTTTCCAATTTTTTATAAAATTTATTATTAAAATTAATTATTAAAAATTATTTACAAATTATTAAAAATGCCAACTAAGCTGTCACGTAAGTAGGTAACCTGCTATCCGGTAAAATTGCATACGTTTGGAGAAATCAGTGGCCTAATTGCACATTTTTGAGTGTTCAATGGCCTAATTGCACTTTTTTTTGTTCAATGGCCTAATTGCATTTTCAGGTTACGTTCAGTGGCCAATTTGAACCTTATTCCTACATTATATATGATGGGGTATGGACCCAATGAGCTCAGGGCCCAAGAAGAAAAGGAATCAAGCCCAGAGGAAGAGAGACCCAAAAGAGTTCTACTACATAGATTCCCAAAATTTATTCCCTCATTTATACTCTCTGAGGTGGCAAATCAGGATTGGTTATTTTCATCATGTGGATCCACTGAAAAGTGTCTACATCAAAAGCATATGAGAGGGAGTACAAGTTGGGAGTTTAAAATGGGAGTACACCAAGTATTTTCCGACCCAAAATAGATACGGACCAAACCGAGGAGTCGGCTCGACTTAGAAGTCGGCGCGAGCGTGAGGTCGGCACGAGTAGAAGGTCAGCCTAAACTAGCCGTTAACCCATATTAATCTCCTAATTATTTCCCATCAATTCCTAACCACCCAATTATTGTTATCATCCATAACCCCCACATAAACTCCTACTTACTACCCAATTAAGCCATCATTATCACTCATAAAGCCTACTAATTACCCCCAACGACTATAATCTTGAAGCCTATGCTAGCTATAAGAAGGGGAAGAAGAGCACAAGAGAGGGGACTCATTCATCCACCCTCACATGGGGGGACTCTTCCACATTCACTCTCTCAAGCACTCTCCCTACACCACTATCCCAAGAAGACTCCATTCACCTACACACATGAGAAAACTCCTCACTCTTCCAAGTGGAGAAGACTCCACCATCATTCCCCTCAACAAGAAGGCCTCATCATACACACTCTTTCAACAAAGAAGGTCAAGAAGAATATTCCCTCTCAATGTACAAAGTAGCTTCATCTCTACATCACATCACCTATACAAAATAGCCATACAACTTGTACAAATGATCCTACAGAATAGTGAATTTAGGCTTGACACCGCCCAAAAAGGCTCGTGATTTTCACCTTTCGATTTCCACATAAAAATCATTGAGTCATACTTCTTTTATTTTAGTAACTTTATTTGAAAGGTGAATCCGCCAACTAAAGTTGTGTTGAACTTCCCTAAACCCAAAAACCCAAAAACTAACAATATATAACATAAAAATTAAGACACATAACATCATTTAATCATTTAATTTTAGTCATTTTACAAAGTAGTGGTCCTGCCGACCTTATCTAGTTTATTACTATAAATTTTCGAATAAGTTATATGTTATTTTAATTAACAAGTTTCAATCATACTCAATAAAAAAATAAAAAATAAAAAAAAAAAACCTACGGAGTATAAACTATTGAACTTTTTTAAAGTACAAATTAATATCGATAATTTTTTGTGTGCAACAATATTTCAATGTAAATGATATAAATTTTGAGTTTGTATCAAGTAGTGTAGTAACATTCTAGATATTAGTTTACATATTTTTAGGGACTTTTAGGGACAAGGACAACCGAACAACTCAGCCAAGTTGTTGGAAGTGGTATATTGATTTTATTGGGTTGCGTCGTTATTTATAGGCAACCTAAATCTAGCATAGGTTATTTTGAGAAAATTTTAATTTTGGTCCAGTGACTATTGGAGTTGGGTTAATTGCAACACTTGACTTTCAAAAATGTTAATTTAGTTCCTTGACTATGCAATTTCTATCAATTTTCGTCACGCCGACCAAATTACCAGCCAAATGTCACCGAAATTTTTTAACTCATTAAATAAAAGGGGCAAAAACGTCATTTCATATTTTTTTTTGAAAACTCATTTCATGTTTTCCCACCTTGTGCGCTTCCTATTACATGTATCTGTATCTAATGCCATGGTCGGAGATTAAAAAAAAAATGGATATATGGTGGGTAACATGATATGATGCTTTCCACATGATTCTTCGCTCTGCATTGCTATAGCGATGGAATTTTTGGCTCTATGGGATTGAGAATGTTTGATATGTGCCGGCGGCGATGGAAATTCGATTTATGGAAATTGCTCTTCTCGAAGGCGCCGACGGTGAAGAGGAAAAGGAGGTCGGAAAAGAGAAGGAAGCCCAAAGAAGGTTTGAATAACATGAAATGACGCTTTTGCCCTTTTTATTTAATGAGTTAAGATTTTCTGGTCACAATTCGTCGGTAATTTGGCCGTCGTGATACAAATTGATAGAAATTGCATAGTTAAGGTACTAAATTAACATTTTTGAAAATTAAGTGTTGCAATTAACACAACTCCAATAGTCATTGGACCAAAATTGAAATTTTCTCGTTTACTTTTCTTGTGATCTTTTATCGGCTAGGATCACAATGGAGCAATATCCTGTGCAACCATGTGCACCATGCAAGGTGCACACGGAATTTGATCTATAATTTCTATACTATAGATTCATAATTTCTATAATATATATTCATAATTCCTATACTGTAGATTCATAATTTATATATTGTAGATTCATAATTTCTAAATTGTAGATTCATAATTTCTATACTATAGATTTATAATTTCTAAACTGTATAGTTATCAAATTATGAACATATAGTTCAATGATTTGACAATACCGAGTTCAAACAATTGGGAATATGAACATTGAAAATTATGAACATAGAATTTTGTAATTGCAAATACAGAGTTCAATAATTATGAATCTATAGTATAGAAATTATGAATCCAATTCCGTGTGCATACGGTTGCACATCATAATTCGCCACAATTACCCATTCATTACCCATAATAAATCCCATATAACCCATAATCCCATTAAAAACCTATTGAAACCCATTAGTTACCCAATTAATTCCCCCTAATTACCCTATTAACTACCCATAAAACCCCCATTATACTCATTTATCATCTATTAAAACCCACTAACCACCTATTTACTACTTATTAATACCTATAATAAATCATCTATTAATGATCCATTTCCCTACTGAACGTCTAACCGGTGGGGATATATAGTTCACTAATTCTGGATATATAATTTTAATCGGTGGGATATATAGTTCACTAATTCTGGATATATAATTCATTAATTATGAATATATAATTCACTAATTCTGGATATATAGTTCATTAATTTTGAATATATAGTTTATTCATTTTGAATACAGACGCAGCGAACTGCCATAAGCCAAAACAGAGTACCATTAATCGATGTGAATATATAGTTCACTAATTCTGAATATATAGTTCATTAATTCTGGATATATAATTCAAATTATGCACAGCATAATGCCGTTAACGACAATCGACAATGATTTTTTTTAAAAAGTCGAACGACGTGTTTTTAATCAAAACGATGCCGTTTTTACAACCGTGTCCATCATGCATGGTGCACACTGTTACACGACATGCGGATCGAATAACTGGTCAGGTGAGAAGTTGGAAGAATGACCAGGGATCGAGTCTCACTAGCGGCAGTGAGGGGGGCTCGCCTTTTGGAAGAATATATTATAAAGGTGTCGGCAATTCTATAAAGGGAAAATGACACTTTTTCCCCCTGAGTTATATACTTATAGCACTTTTTTCCCTTCAATTATTTAGGTAAGCACATTAGTCCCTTCAGTTATTCTAAAAGTGGTGGTTTTTCCCCCTAATATATTAAATTGACATTTATACCCTTAAAATAAGCATTTTATTTATTTTACTTCTCCAACAAATTATTGCGTATACGTAGGGATGACCACGATTCGGTTCGAACTGAATCGGACACTATAGCAATCGAATTAAAAGTTTTCAGTTATGATTCAGATCTAGAACTCAATATTTGCATTTCAATTTATTAAAATTATGAATCAAAAAATTTGGATCCTGAACCGTGAACCGGCGGTTCCGGACCCGATTCGCGATTTTGAACCGTTTTTATTTTAAAATTTTATTTTTATTTTAAAAATAGTCTAAATTCAACAATAAATGTATTTTATTTTTTCAGTTTGGAACATGAACCGTCCGTTCCGGGATTTTAATAAACTCTAAATATCGAGTTTCGATTCTAAATTGTAATTGGAATATTTCGGTTTGAACCAAATTATGGTCATAATTTGTTGGAGAAGAAAAATAAATAAAATATTTATTTTAAGGGTAAATATGTCTATTTAACATTTTAGGGAGAAAAACAGCCACTTGAATAATGAGGGGAGAAAAGTGCTATAAGTATATAATTTAGGGGGAAAATGTGTCATTTTCCCTTCTATAAATAACGCTCTGTTATTAAAATTTAAAATACCATCACTTCACTTTCCAGTTCTGAATAAACAGTACTTCTCGTCGGAAAAAAATGGCGCTTAAGGTCCACGGAGCCATACTATCGCCGGCGGTGTTGAGAGTCGTGGCTGTCCTCAAGGAGAAAGAGCTCGATTACGAGTTTGTCAATGTTAACCTGCAAGCCGGAGAACACAAACAACCACATTTCCTTGCCCTCAACGTGAGTCTAAATTTGATAATTTCGTATATAGTTCTAGAATTCTCTTCTCTTCTAGTACTCCTCGTCGTCCTCGAAATAGTACTAATGTTACTGTCTTTGTTGCTGTAGCCGTTCGGTCAAATTCCGGCATTCGAGGATGGAGATTTGAAACTCTTCGGTAAACCTATTATTCATTAACTGTGTTTGAGGAACAGAAATTGATTATTGATGGATTTGCGAATTGAATGTTACATTGCAGAGTCGAGGGCGATTACACAGTACATCGCGCACACGTATGTTGACAAGGGGACGCAGCTGATCGTCCCAGATCACAAGAAGATGGCGATCATGTCGGTGTGGATGGAGGTTGAGGCTCAGAAATTCGACCCTGCAGCTTCCAAGCTCAGCTACGAGACCGTTATAAAGCCGTTAATGGGCATGACGGCGGACGATGTGGTGGTGGCGCAGTACGAGGAGCAACTAGGTAAAGTTCTCGATGTCTACGAGGCACGGTTGAAGGAATCGGAATACCTGGGCGGAGACTGCTTCACTTTGGTCGATCTTCACCACATTCCTCTCATAAACTACCTCATGGCTACTAAAGTTAAGGCCCTGTTTGATGCACGCCCAAAAGTTTCCCAATGGGTCGCCGATATTTTGGCCAGGCCTGCCTGGTCAAAGGTTCAAGAATTGCTCAAACAGAAATCGGGATAATTTCAAAGGGGTTGCAGACTTTTAATTTCTCGTAAATCAAACAACGTAACCACTTTGGTGTGGTTTATGTTTTGGATGTTCATCTTGTTATCTTGTACTGGACGTGTCTGTTTTTGGTTGTGTGGATTCCCATATGTGAGATTAAGCTGGCTTATGTGTGATTGCATTATTGCAATAATGTTGAAGAAATAATAAGAAAATTGATGATTATGAATCTTTAATTTCTCTGTTCCTTAAAACAAAGTAAGCAAAAGTGATTCCTAGAACTTTGACACTTGACAGTGGACTCTAGCGGTAGGTGTGATGCGTGGTGGTTGTCTGGTTAGCAACTATATAGCCATCAAACTAGGCTTTGCTCGTGAGGTCAACGCATCTCATCTGTTGGTGGGATTCGAAAATAGCAGCCCATCAAACAATAGATTTTTTTTGCACCTGTCCCGCTTAGACTCGCAGACTTGACGAGATTCTTATTTAAATAAAGTGTACCAACCTTCATTGTCCTTCAATCACACTTTATTATATTTTTATTAGATTATATTTAATATTAATAAGATTCTAAATTTATTTTTTTAAAGACTCTTAAATTGTCGACTAGACTAAATTAATAAAGTGAGTTTTATCCGTGCACAAGTAAGTACAACTATGGCTTGACTTTAAATATGTATTTTTTGCTGGTATATAAGCGCGCGATATAATTTGTATATGACGTATGCGCCAATGTAAGAGCAACCACATCAACTTTGATCTTTACGCAATTTTTAAGATGTCACTAAGAGAGAGAGGAAGGTGAGAGAATAAGGAAAAAAGAATATATATATATATATGTATATATATATATATATATATATATATATACACACACACACACACAAACACAAAAAGGGTGTCACCAAAAAAAAAAAAAAAAACAAAGCAAGTCTTACGTGTGCACGTGGGCTCCAGCGTCTCCAACACGTCGAGAAAGGCAAATCTTTGCTTCCATTTCAGCAGTAATAGACCCTACAAAAATATTGAACTTATAAAAGATGAAAACATCAAAAAATCTCATCTCCCATCAATTTTAAAACTCAAATTTTGATTTTTAAATCTAAAAAATTTCAAAAAAATTACAAATGTAATTGCTCCAATATCCTTATATGGATTTCTCCACGATATCAAATATAAAAGTTGTATTCTTTTATCTTATTTATATTGCACAAACGTTATTTATAATTAATGTCACAATATTATATTTAAAATAAATTATATATAATAACATCATTTAATTTTAGTCATTAATATTTTACCAAGTAGTGGACCAGCCGACCTTATCTACTTATTATTTTACATTTTCTATTAAGTTATTAAGATATGTTATTTTAATTAACAAGTTTCAATCATACTCAATTTTTTATTTATTTTTTTTAAAGGAAGACCTTACGGAGTATAAATTATTGAAAATTTTTAAAGTACAAATTATAATTTTGATATTTTTTTTTTTGTGTGCAACACTATTTCAATTTTAATGAGAAAATTTTTGAATTTGTATCAAGTACTGTAGTAATAACTAAGTGGCTTATGGTCCATTGGTATTGGGTTGCTCTCTTAAGTGGAAGGTGAAAGGTTCAAACTTCACTTGAGGCAAGTAGTGTGTTATGTGTAAAAAAAGTACTGTAGTAACATTCCTCATAATATCAGTTTAACATATTTTTGTAGGGACAAGAACATGCATCTAGGATCACAATGTATGGTTCACTTAACGAGTTGTCTGCCCTCAAATAACGGGTTCCAGTGTGATTCGATTCGAACCTCACACATTGTTGCCTTTAGTTGTGACATTAAGTGATAAGTCGATGACGAACCACTACTCTAAACATGGGGACATTTATTATTATTAATACTAGCGTGCTCTCATTTGTACATTGCAACGTGTGAGAAATCATGGTAGTTAGTGGGCGGTACCAACTACCAAGTAGAAGAATCAAACATTATACAATGACTCAATGACCGGTTCAAATTGGCGGAAGTCAAAAGAGAATTTTCAAAGAGGGTGTCGGCAATTCTATAAATAACGCTCTGTTATTAAAATTTAAAATACCTTCACTTCACTTTCCAGTTCTGAATAACACTACTTCTCGTCGGAAAAAATGGCGCTTAAGGTCCACGGAGCCATACAATCGCCGGCGGTGTTGAGAGTCGTGGCTTGCCTCAAGGAGAAAGAGCTCGATTACGAGTTTGTCAATGTTAACATGCAAACCGGAGAACACAAACAACCACACTTCCTTGCCATCAACGTGAGTCTAAATTTGATGATTTCGTATATAGTTCTAGAATTCGATCTCTTCTTGTACTCCTCGAACATAGTACTTATGTTCCTGTCTTTGTTGCTGTAGCCGTTCGGTCAAATTCCGGCATTCGAGGATGGAGATCTGAAACTCTTCGGTAAACCTATTATTCATTAACTGTGTTTGTGATTACCTGTTTGAGGAATACTACAAATTGATTGATGGATTATTTGCGAATTGAATGTTGCAGAGTCGAGGGCGATTACACAATACATCGCGCACACGTATGTTGACAAGGGGACGCAGCTGATCGTCCCAGATCACAAGAAGATGGCGATCATGTCGGCGTGGATGGAGGTTGAGGCTCAGAAATTCGACCCTGCAGCTACCAAGCTCGGCTTCGAGATCGTTATAAAGCCGATGCGTGGCATGACGACGGACGATGCGGTGGTGGCGGAGTACGAGGAGCAACTAGGCAAGGTCCTCGATGTCTACGAGGCACGGTTGAAGGAATCGAAGTACCTAGGCGGAGACTGCTTCACTTTGGTCGATCTTCACCACATTCCTCTCATAAACTACCTCATGGCTACTAAAGTTAAGGCCCTGTTTGATGCACGCCCAACAGTTTCCGCATGGGTCGCCGATATTTTGGCCAGGCCTGCCTGGGCAAAGGTTCAAGAATTGCTCAAAGAGAAATAGGGATAATCTCAAATCACATATTGATATAGGAGTTGCGGGCTTTCCCATAAATCAAACCATGATGGCCTGGCGGCTTGTTATTTTTCGACTGTTTATGTTTTGGAGGTTTATCTTATTATCTTGTAGTGTGTATGTTCTTGGTTGTGTGGATTTCTAAATGTTAGATTAAGCTGGTGTATCATGTATGTATGTATGAGTGCGTTATTGCAATAATAATGTTGTTGAAATAATTAAGAAAACTGATGATTAATTTCTCTGTTCATTAAAACAAAGTAATTAAAACAACTGACTATGTGATTTCTATAACTTTTTGATTATCTAAGTATTAAAAAAAAAAATCATTTTGATGGATTATTACACAAGAAAGTATAATCTAATACACAAATCTGGATTACCCTGAAGGATTCCCTTCCGCCGTATTACTATATATATACACTATATACTATACAATATGCCAACTATCATGTAGTCTGATGGCATCCTGATTACGTACTGTTTATAGTCATAGGTTCGAACCCCAGTAGTGGTGGGGGCTTAGATTTTTTAGGCTGAAATTGTTTGAGAAAATATATAAAGAACAGATACTATTTTGTAAAGAATCACGAATATTTCAAAACAAATATATACTATACAATGTCAAAAAAAAAAAAAAAAGGTCATTTGCCCATTGACTATTGAGTTTTTTGTTTTTAATGGATTCTGACATAATCTCTCACGCAATACTGCCAACTACCCTGAAACGGTTCCAAGAAAAACTAATTAAATAGTACTGTGCTAGATTGTAAACGGATTAAAGTAAGGATGTCACTAAATACCTAATCAATTTAGAAAAACATATCCTGAGAGTCTACTAGTTTACCAAATTACCAGTCATTAATAATACTACCCGCATTCGAGATATGTTAAACTTATCCTATGATGACGCAAACAGAAACTCGCAAAAATTAAAGAAAAACCCAAGGAAGTTCAACGCTTCCTGCTACAAATACCACCTTTCAGACAACCTGGTTTTCATCATCGTATCACCTCAATATCCTATAATCTATCATAGTTAGCCAGCATATATTCATGGCAATCAAGGTCCACGGGAATAAGATGTCAACGGCAACGATGAGGGTCGTTGCTTGTCTCATGGAAAAGGGTCTGGATTTTCAGTTTGTTGACATTGATATGGGAGCTGACCACCACAAGCAGGAACCTTTCCTCTCCCTTAATGTAAGCTAAGCTATCAATTAACCAATTTTGTTGGAGTTTACGTACTAAGTTTCATGCATGCATGCATGCACTTTAGGACTTTGTAAAGAATTCTTGCACTTTATAATGATGTATATTGATTTCTCTAATTGCATGTAGCCATTTGGCCAAGTTCCAGCTTTTGAAGATGGTGACTTGGAGCTTTTTGGTAAGTTTATTTTTATCATCCTTCAAACTAGGTAAAGTAAACCCAGCTATAACTTAATAAATACAAAGTTATAAGTTTGACTCTTGGTCTATTCTATTGGACTTTTTAGTTTGGGCCAACAAGTTTTTAGTCTTCAAATTAAACTACTAGTAAAGTCAACTATTAGATAGTAAACTAGGGCAATCTAGCCAAATTGGTCAGGTCAACTTAGTAACTACAAGATTATAAGATTGATTCTGAGTGGGACAATTTATTGATTTTCTTGATTTGAGCCGGTCAGGTCAGTTATGCTAGCTAGTTTACCTTCTCGTGGGTGGTTCTTTACTAATTAGGGTTATCACAAGGCAAGACAAGATTTACCCCGTAACCTTTGTCGTATCTATTAGCGAATTTTTTGTAGTGTGATATGTTAACTTATTGTGACAACACAGAGTCAAGGGCAATCACTCAGTATATTGCATATACTTGTGCCAACAAGGGGAACCATCTAGTATGTGAGGATCCAAAGAAGATGGCCACCGCATCAGTGTGGATGGAGGTGGAGAACCACCACTTCGACCCGGCGGCTTCCGCGTTGACGTGGGAGCTTGGCATAAAGCCAGTGATTGGCATGGCTACTGATGAGACTATAGTGGAACAAAACAAGGAAAGGCTGTCCAAGGTTTTGGATGTGTACGAGAATCGCTTGATACGATCAAAATACTTAGGCGGGGATTGGTTCAGCCTAGCGGATCTGCACCATCTCCCCAACATCCATTGTCTCATGGGTACCCAAATCAAAACGTTGTTTCAGTCGCGCCCGAATGTGAGTGCGTGGTGGGTTGATATCTCTTCCAGGCCAGCTTGGTTAAAGATGGTTGAATGGCTAAAAGAGACTTGAGCCGCTAGTAGTGGTCTCACTGGTCTCACGGTCTAGTAAAGTCCAAGGCTTTCCGCGAGGCTGACATAGGCGACTGACTGTCATATAACAGTTGTCTAATGTCTTTTACAACAGTTGCCTATCTGCAATTCTGTACTAGTGATATATGCAATGTTACATACTTACATTATATATATTCCACTTTCTTTAATTTCTTGGGTTTTAAGTAGTGTCTGCCTATTCTCTGGTGGGAAGGCAAAAGATGAGGCCATGTAATATAATGTACTATTCAATAAAATATGCAAGCTAATAAGAGTCCTCAATTGGTTACACGTGGGAGTAGTGTTTGTGAGTTTTTACTATACCATCGCTGAGAAAATTAAAAAGAAAAAACGCAAAGAGTCATTATTTATCTGACCAATCAAAGTCGTCATTAAAGCAAAGTAATAGTCTCTTAGCCAAGTCTAATCTAAATACTTGGAAACATTAAAGATGAATTATTTGTATTGCAATTTTTGTAGATAACCAAGAGTTGACTTATAGATAATTAGAATATGGGAGATACGGCTAAGGATAATGTGAGAATAGTACCATATGAGAGAAATAAGAATCAATATCGGATTTGATCAGAGTTATAAAAAATATGGTGACATTTTTGTAATTATTATTCATTTTAGTATACAAACTTGAACATACATTTAAATATGTAATCTTCAACAACTAAATATGCAAACCTAGTAGATTTTATAAAATCAACGAAAAAAGCTAAACTTTAAATCTAAATCATAAATGCTAGACTTTAAGCAGTAAAAAGTGAACCACTAAACAAAATAAAATAAAAATTGAGTTTTTTATTTTTTTTATTTTAGCGTTTCACTTTTAGCGTTTATATTGGCAATTCAGACAGCAAAAACCTAGAATTAACCTGTTAAAAATGTTAATTGTTCTTTTTTCTGAGTTCAATGACTTATTTGAAGATTATTTGAATTCGATGGCTTAATTGATGTTTCTCAAATAATTTAGTGACTTATTTGTACTTTATTCCAAAAAAAACAAAAAAAAAAGTAAAATTAGAGAGGCCCATGGCCCATTTACAATATCTTGGATCACCAATAGATCAGCCCCAATTCAATCATTCCCCGATCATTATTCTATGGAACAAGGTCCACACATAAAAAATATATTTTTAATATATTAACATTAGCTTATTTGTATACATAAAATATATTATTCAAAAGTACATAATTTTTTATATATTATCAAATAATATATCTTTAGTATACAAGTAATGTATTTTTAATATTACATATGTATATTTTATCCATGGTTGAACCATAATCCATACAATAATTTGTCAATCACCCCCCTATTCAATCACAATTCCACTTCGTCACCCATAACAACAAAATTTTTATGTAAACTATGATTTACACTACTGTGTAAATTATGCATACAAAATATATTAAAATAATATATTTTTAATGTATTAATTTTATTTTTTTTTAAAATTATGGTCCACATACACTGAACCATGGTCCATGCAATAGTGATTGACCCATGACCCAATTCATTTGCAATTCCATATCGGCGAGGAGGAGAGCATAAACATCACTACATCGACGCAGTCGACGAGTTCCGGATAAAGGTCTGTGCACTGGAAACGCAATACCGCCGTCGCCCTGTCAGGAATCATCTCATTTGCGCCGTGAATCCACCCAGCTCGAGGTTACTACCTTCTTCTATACGTTGAACCATCTCCACATGCTTAATTTTTATTTTTATTTTTTCATTGAATTCATAGCTTAATGGTCGACATAGAATTGTAAAGTAATATGTAGCTTAAGCTTGTAAAAAATATGTACTGGATGTGTTAGATATCTGTGCTTGCATATTCATGTTTTCAGTATGTTCTTATGTGAGATTGATGATTATGTTAAATTTTCTGTTCAACAATCCCAATTTCCCTCATTTACCAAGCACTGTGAAGAGCAAGATCTGCACATGCTTAACTTTTTTTATTTTTATTTTTTTATTTTTCATTGAATTCATAGCTTAATGGCCGACATTGAATTGTAAGTAATGTGTAGCTTAAGCTTGGAAATATGTACTGTGTTAGATTTTTGTGTTTGCAGATTCATGTTTTCATTATGTTCTTATAAAAGATTGATGTTTATGTTAATTTTCTGTTCAACAATCCCAATTTCCCTCAGTTATCAAGCACTGTGAAGAGGAAGACCTATTATTCTTGAATTTCTAGCTTATTTACCTTTTATTTGCAGCTGCAATGTCATCAGGATCAGATCATCAAGCCACCGTCATAGATGGTAAAGCTATTGCACAAACCATTCGATCTGAGATTGCCTCGGAAATAAAAGTCATGTTGGAGAAGTATGGCCAGGTTGGTCTGATATGCCCTCTTTACATAGCCATATTGCACCTGAATTACTTACTAAATGACTGTACATTAGCTACAGATTTGGATAGAAGTTATCATGTTGTCTATCCAGGGCCTGAAATTGTACCGAAAATTGAACCCAATCTCTTATACGTTCAGGTGCCAGGGTTGGCAGTAGTCATTGTAGGAAATCGGAAAGATTCTCAAAGCTATGTGAATATGAAGAGAAAGTCTTGTGCTGAAGTTGGGATTAAGTCCTTTGACATCAACCTTCCAGAGGATGTACCTGAAGCTGAATTAATTAGCAAGGTCCATGAGCTGAATGCTAATCCCGATGTGCATGGTTAGTTCGTTATGAACATATTAGAAGTTAACGCTATATCACTGTCGTTAACAAAAATATGTGTAATGTATGACTTGATGTGGTGCATTTTCACAGGTATATTGGTGCAGCTTCCGCTACCAAAACATATAAATGAAGAAAAAGTATTAGGCGAAATCAGTCTGGAGAAGGATGTAGATGGCTTTCATCCTCTAAACATTGGCAAGCTTGCAATGAAAGGCAGAGATCCTTTGTTCCTTCCATGCACCCCAAAGGCAGTATACCTAGTCCTGACTTGAAATAATTCATTAGCCATATCCATGCATGTAAAAATGTTTATGAACTCTAGTAGTATATAATTTACAATTCTTTAGGAACTTTTATCTGAAGATGTTCTGTGTTGCACACAGGGTTGCCTTGAACTTCTATTCCGAAGTGGTGTTACCATAAAAGGGAAGAAGGCAGTTGTGGTTGGTCGAAGCAACATTGTTGGATTGCCAGTTTCGTTGCTACTTCTGAAGGAAGATGCAACTGTCACTATAGTCCATTCTCGCACTAAGGATCCAGAGAGCTTCATTCGCGAAGCAGACATTGTTATTGCAGCAGCAGGACAGCCAATGATGGTAAAATAGGACATCTAATTACACCCTTATCCTCTCCTTTCGAAATCCCAATATCCCATGCTTGGATACCTGGCTTCCAACTCTACGTTTTTGGTTTCTGACACATACGTAATACCTTTTTCCAGATCAAAGGAAGCTGGATTAAACCCGGAGCTGCTGTGATTGATGTTGGAACAAATGCTGTAGACGATCCAACTAAGAAATCGGGTTATAGGCTCGTGGGTGATGTCGATTTTCAGGAAGCGTCCAAGGTAGCTGGATGCATAACTCCAGTTCCTGGTGGCGTCGGGCCACTAACAGTCGCAATGCTTCTGAAGAATACATTGGATGGAGCTAAACGAGTTATTGAGAAGTAGCCTTGTTGTTTTGTTGGATTTTAAGGCACTGTCTAAGTTGAAGTTTATGAGTTTATCAACCTTTCCTTGAAGCTCAATGAATAAAACCTATGGTTGGACAAAGTCTTAAATGCCTACATAGTATAACTTTCTTCACACCAACAGTTTCAATAGTTTAACCTGGAGAGTGTGATTGAGTAGAAGGGACTCATCAATCCTTAACCAAAGGTCAATGGTTCGATCTTTGGTTTTGGGAATGGAGCAGCCTTAAATCTCTAGGCCAGTTGTCTCACCCAAAAGAGGTGTCCGACGGTGGAAACCCTGGGTATACCAAAAAAAAAACAGCTTCAATAGTTCAATACCAGAGTTTACCTTTGTGACTTGTGAGTGTTGCTAAAAAGCTCTTTAGTAAGAACTGATTCTGTATGCAAAGATAATTCTGCTTGCAAATCATCCCCTTGCCCGGAGGCTTTACATGAAAATGCAATAGGCTTTTTCTTGGGGGGTGGGGGGTAATTTAGTAATAAGTCTAAAGTCATTCAGAGGAAATTTTACTTTATTTACAAGATTTAAATTTGGATATTTCTACTTTAAAATTTAACTTTTTTGGTAACATTAAACTTCAATTCAGTGTAAAAAAGATGCAGCATTCAGCTGTGAAACATTGATGATGGAAGAGGCACACATTGATATGAAAATGTATTTTTCAAAAAAATATATTTAATAAAAAGAATTTCTTAACTTCAATTTTGAGCATTTTTTTTTGAGTAAATACCACCTATGGTCCCTCGAGTTTGGTGGCGTCGCCATCAATGGTCCCTAACTTCCGTAATTACCATCCGTCATCCTCCGAGTTGTCAAAAGTTACCTTCTAGCGTCCTTTCATTACTTCCTCCCGTCTCAGCCGTCAAAATGGAGGGTAATATTGTCATTTGACTTATACGAAAAAAGTTAATACTAGCCAAGGTCCCTCGAGTTTGGTGGTTTGGCCATCTTTAGTCCCAAGTTTCCATATTCCATTATTTTCCTTCTGTCATATTCTCTTCTTCAAATGTATTATTATTACTATTATTTAATGTTATTATTAAATTCTTATTATTATTACTATTATTTAAAGTTATTATTGTTATTATTAAATTATTATTATTATTAAATTATTATTATTATTATTGTTATTGTTATTATTATATTATTAGCATTAAATAATAATAATTATTATTATTATTATTATTATTATTGTTACTATTATTATTATTATTATAATATTCATATTCATATTATTATTATTATTATTGTTGTTATTGTTATTATTAAATTATTATTATTATTATTATTGGTGGTTTGACCATCTTTAGTCCCAAACTTGGCTAAACAATATTAAAGAAAGTTGGTGGTTTCTCAACTTCCAACTCGAACTCCCTCTTCTCCTATACAATATTAAAGAAAATTTACAAATGTATAGGGGTCGTTTACTTCATTTATCTGTTTTTCCATTTCCAGTTTTTCATTTCTCCATTTCTCCAGTTTTCTTTCTCCATTTTTCCAGTTTTCCTTCTCCATTTTTTTAGTTTTCCATTTATCCATTCCTCCAGATTTTTATTTCTCTATTTTTCTGATTTTATTAAATACACTCATCTTATATAGAATTTGCACATTTCTACAACAACAACAACAATAATAATAATTTAATAATAATAATAATAACAATAAATAATAGTAATAATAATAAGAATGTAATAATAATAATAATAATAATAACAATAACAATAACAATAATAATAATAATAATAATAATAATATAATAATAATAATAATAATAATAGCATTTGTACATTTCTACAACAACAAAAACAACAACAACAACAACAATAACAATAATAATAATAATAATAGTAATAATAATTTAAAAAAATAACAATAACAATAAATAATAATAATAATAATAATTTAATAATAACACTAACAATAACAATAATAATATGAATATAAATATAATAATAATAATAATAATAACAATAATAATAATAATAATTTAATGCTAATAATATAATAATAACAATAACAATTATAATAATAATTTAATAACAATAATAACTTTAAATAATAGTAATAATAATAAGAATTTAATAATAACTATAAATAATACTAATAATAATACATTTGAAGAAGAGAATATGAAAGAAGGAAAATAATGGAATATGGAAACTTGGGATTAAAGATGGCCAAACCACCAAACTCGAGGGATCTTGGCTGGTATTAACTCTTTTCGTATAAGTCAAATGACAATATTACCCTCTATTTCGACGGCTGAGACGGGAGGAAGTAACGGAAGGACACTAGAATGTAACTTTTGACAACTCGGAGGATGACGGCTGGTAATTACGGAAGTTAGGGACCATTGATGGTGATGCCACCAAACTGGAGAGACCGTAGGTGGTATTCTCTTTTCTTTTTTTTTTTAATATTTTTGAGACCACAACTGTGAAACGGTGCCAAGGCCACAAGATACATACTGAAGTTGCGGTCTGGATAAACCGAAGCACTGTGGTTGCTCATGAAATCTTCTTAATGGCCGCGGCCCTCCACCACCACCACTTCCGCCACTGCTCGTTCGTCTCTCCGTTATCAAGAAATGCACTGACAGTAAGGAGACCAAAAGCATGGCTGCTCACTTCTCCGGGAAAATCTGGCCTTTTCCAGCTCTCTTGCTCTTCTTCTTCCACTTCGCCGCCTCCTTCGCCGTCCTCTCCGGAAGTCAGTGCCTCCGCTGCCACGGCTGAGTCATGCGTCAACTTAGGTCTTTCCCTCTTTTCTAAAGGACGGGTACGTGCTTCTTTCAGCTTCTCGTGAAGTGTTTCTATTCCAATACTTTGATTTTGTGAATATTTTCATTAATATCCCAATTGATTTAGATTCGTGCTACTGTTATATGATTCGTTGGATTCAATAGAAATTCAAGTAGGTTAAGTTTTGCTCGATGCAATGTATGCTGATCAGTTAGAAGGCAGGCTGTTCAATAAATGCTCAACAGAATTGAGTGCTGTTGCATCACTTTTTTTTTTTTTTTTGGGTGAATGACTGAGTGAAATCCGTAGTCATTACCTGAGAGCATTGTGATTTTAGCTGTCAAAAGGACCACAAGGAGTTAAACCAGTCTAGGTTGCTCGTAATTGACTAGTTCAAACCAAGAAGGCGCCAATGTGTCAAACTTGTAACCTTGTGGTTACCAAGCCAATAGTCTGACCAACTTGACCGGCTTGTGGTGCTGTATCATTTTTTATCATACAAGAACTGAAGGGAGAATTTGGTTTTTACTCCATTTTTTTTCACAATTTCACCATAATAGGATCACTGTGTATTTACCTGTTATAAATTTTCAGGTGAAAGATGCTCTGGAGCAGTTTGACAAAGCACTTACTTTAGAGCCCAACCCTGTGGAAGCTCAAGCTGCACTTTATAACAAGGCTTGTTGTCATGCATACAGGTAAGTTTTGATTTTGCTTTCTCACTGCTGTATTAAGCAGTTTATCTTCTGTTGAGCATTGCGATTGGGATCTTATTTTCTTGTTTGTATTTTGAGGAAGAGCGGAAGGTAAGAAAGCAGCTGATTGTTTGCGCCTTGCTTTGAGAGAATATAATCTCAAGTTTGGCACTATCCTCAATGACCCCGACTTGGCTTCCTTCAGAGCATCTCCTGAATTTAAGGAATTGCAGGAAGAGGTCTGTTGTTTAAGGCTTATCTGTGTTTCTGAATTTCTCAGCTTCTCTGCATCTCAAAATTTCCGTTTGAATTACATGATTTACAATATTGTTTCAAGTGGACTCACCCTTATATTTATATGTAATAGAAGGAACTCTAAGGTCTGCAATACAACTTCATTTTGTTGCATTGAATACAATATCAATTAGTCTTTTGACTTTACCTTCAGGCTAGGCTAGGTGGGGAAGATATTGGGTACAGTTTCAGAAGAGACCTCAAGCTCATCAGTGAGGTCCAAGCTCCATTTCGAGGGGTTAGAAGATTCTTCTATGTGGCATTTGTTGCAGCTGCAGGAATATCTACGTTTTTCACTATACCAAGGCTAATCCGCGCAATTCAAGGTGGAGATGGTGCTCCTGATATCTGGGAGACGGTAGGAAATGCTGCAATCAATATTGTCGGTGAGTAGCAAACACTTCCAGTTCAAATTTGTTTAGGTATTGCTTAATATAATGAAAGCACTTATACTTGGATGGAAAAATCTTGTTTCCCCAAAATGATTAAGTTTTTGAACCAGCAATCTGCAGGTATTGTTGTTATCGTGGCTCTGTTTTTGTGGGATAACAAGAAAGAGGAGGAACAGATTGCACAAATAACACGGGATGAAACCCTATCAAGGCTTCCTATACGCCTTTCAACTAATAGGATTGTTGAACTTGTCCAATTACGCGACACCGTGAGACCTGTTAGTGACATGAATATCACTTGCTCTTCATATTTTCAGCTTCAATGCTCATAATGTAGTGCAAGACCAACATTTTCCATGCCTCAATTTTCCATCAATGGTTTGAAGCATGGCCATTGTTTTTGAAGCTTTAATATTGGCTGCTGCTTTGATCAAGCGAAAATATAGAGTTCTTATTCTTGTTTAGGAGTTAGGGCATCAGATTTTTTTTTTTTTTTTTTTTTAAATTTCTACGATCTCCTAGTAAGGAGGTTGATAAAGCAAGGAAAATTTGATGAGAAAAGAGAAATATGCCATCATACTTTAAAAAAAAAAATGTTATACTTAACTTCTTTTCCTAATTTCTATGAAGTATTGTTTTCTCCTCTTTATGCCTTCACATTGAGTCAGTTTTAATCATTTCTCTAACTGCATCTACATCTTCTATCTCTCTTCCTCTCAGCACTTTCCGTAATGCAACTCATACGGGTTTTAATCTGACTCCTGCAATAGGTTATTTTGGCTGGGAAGAAAGAGACAGTCACTCTGGCCATGAAAAATGCTGAGAGGTTCCGCACTGAGCTACTTAGGCGAGGAGTCCTTTTAGTCCCGGTTGTTTGGGGTGAAGGACAAGAACCTCAGGCACAGAAAAAAGGCTTTGGTGTTTCCCGAAAGGCAGCTTCTTCTCTACCTTCTATTGGGGTAAGATTGAAACTTCTGTCATATACTTACTGATCTGTCATCTGTGAAAGTTGAAGCACACCATGGTGCATATGCTGGTTATTCAGGTCGTACTTTCATGCTAGTGACGAAATGCATAGAACTTTGGAGTATAGAATTATTGCTTGCTGCAAGCATGCATGACGAAAAATTGTTTATGCGAGTTTATGTTTTGTGGTGCTATGGTAGGAAGATTTTGAGAAGCGAACTGAGTCGGTAATTGCACAATCAAAATTAAAAGCAGAGATTCGTTTCAAGGCAGAGGCGGTGTCACCAGTTGAGTGGGAACGGTAAGTAATCGTCCTATTGCTATGACTATTTGTCATTGAACCCTCAAATATACCTGCTAACAAGTGCTATTTATTTATTTATTCATTAATCTTATTAACTTCAAGTTGTCTTTCTGTGTTGTTTTTGGCTCGTATTCAATTTTGCTCAGGTGGATTAGAGATCAGCAGAAGTCTGAAGGTGTTACTCCTGGTGAAGATGTCTATGTTATTCTCCGTCTAGATGGCCGTGTTCGAAGATCTGGGAAGGTTAGTGGTTTTGATGACTAATTTTATACAATTTCTCGTCTTTAATCCATTAAGACCAATGACTTTGGGGATACCAGCAATCCCAGCATTGCCTTGTGTATGTATGTATATGCTTTCTGTTTTGGCTGTTCGGGACTGTAGGGCATTGTAGATTATTGAACTTCACTGCACTATTGATTCATTCTAACGATACATTGGGGGATGTTTCCTTATCTCGTTTGCAAGCAGCCTGATTTTCATACCCTTTTTCAATTCAATGTGGAATTTAAAGTTCGACCCTTTATTTTTCAGGGAATGCCTGATTGGGCACAGATTGTTAAGGAGCTACCTGAAATGGAAGCGCTGTTAAGCAAACTAGAAAGATAAACAATAATCGCTTTGTTAGTTAACCGAGCGAACCATAGAAGCACATTAGACTCACCAATTTGCAGCACGCTTTTGGAGGTGAGATTCGCAGTGCTTTCTTATTTTTCTTCAACATGCCCCGACGCAAGAAAGGCTTTTCGTGCCAGACTTTACACTAAACCATATGCCTAGATGCCTGTTTGAGTTCTTGCAGTATTGTTCTCTGTTCTTTACAAATGCTCATTGTTGTAAATTGACAACATTGGTTAAACATACTAGGAAGCAAGATGGTAATATTAGCATGGAACTAATGTTGTCTGTCCACCAACTTTGTTCAGTTTCTGTCATTGTCATTTTCCATCCACAGGAAGTCCATTCCGGCGGCAATGCAGAGAACCAATTGTTATACTATGGACCAGGATTCATATTGCATTATGAACCTTGATACAAAAATTCTGTACTTACAGGCTACAGTTAATAGTTTTTGTACATGTAAACAAATAACTTGATAATTGCTGACACATAATATGATAGCTACAGGTACAGAAATGATCAACTGCAAGTACAGAATATGTGTTAACTATAGATACAGAATTTGAAAGTTATTTTTAGACCAAGATTTACAATGCAAGGTAGATCCTGGTCCATGGTATAATTTGCAAGATCTTTAAACAAAAATGCTTTTCTAGAAACCCAACCCTGAAATTATGGTGTTTGTTGAATCTTTGTTCATGTCAGTTGGGGAACATATAAGATTCTATGTGGATATGGATGGTTTGGATGAAAGCTGAGTTTATGATCTCTCTTTATCTTAGAAAATCAATATCACCTTGAAAGTTGAAGGGACAAAGATTAGTATACCTTCTGGGACTTAGAATATGCATGTTGTTCTCATAGTCGGTGGAGTTTCGTTTTCACTGGTAGGTTTTGAAGAGGTCCAAGTCCTTCATCACAATGACGAAGCCATTGAAGTGGTAACCTTTTGGAATATGGGTCTCGTGAGTAACTTTCATTTACGGAAAAACCCGTAGTCGCTACTTGAATGTACCCTCGAATTGCCTTGTAATCCTAATCAGTAAAGGATTACGAGGTAAACTAGTTTATATTATCTATAGTTGATCGGTTTAAATTAATAAAACTAATAAGTTTTTCTTCTGAGGAGTCAAATTTAGAACAAAGTGCATAGTAGGTGGTCATTTCATGAGTAACTCGCCCAATTGATATAGGATGCGTTTGGTAGAATGGTTAGAGCACTCTCCTCCTTTTAATCGCTATTCGAAAAGTCGAAGCAACTATTCTAGACACCGGTCTTGTTTGTGCTAAAAGTTTTTTAATCAACCCCCAAACCAAACACGGTTGACATCCTCTAGTGTTCTATCCACCGTTTGATTAGGTCCCCTAATATACCTTATAATAATTGGGTGTGAGATTACGACAACTAAACTATTGCCAGTGGTTGAACAATTATTCAAAGCGTAAACATGACCCCTCCTATTTTGTACATTTAATCAGAAAAAAAAAATACAGAGATTTAAAAAACTCGCAATTACTATCCAATGAATGTGCATGAAGTAAATCCTACATAGGAGTGGTAAATTGTACTTGGAAGATCTTGTATGACGAGCTCAACTTCTCGTGACCTTTTAACATAACAATAATATTTCACTTACTCGATCACTCTTTTCGGGACATGTTATAACTTTTTGAACTCATAAATTTAAATAGCAACTTGTGTATTAACAAATGTGAATCTGATAGATGGGCAATCAGATCATGAAATGGTCATCAAATCTTGAGATTATAACCATAAGAAAGTCACATTGGATCAAGTAAAATTTTACAAGTTTAACATGAATATGTGTAGCGCCAGTGGAATGGCATCATGGTGGACAGAGACAACACGAAAACTTTTTTTTTTTATAAGTCCAAAATTACTAGTTGGGAAAAATAATGATAATTATATAATTTATGTAACTAAGGTAAATAGTTATAATATTGACATGTTTAATCAACTCGCATATTAGGAAGATAACACCGAAAATTTGTGATACAAAGAGCAATTCGGTGTCATATCTAAGTGGATTGAAGTGACTTTTCTAAAGAGTTAATACCCAAAATCGTCTTCGACTATAGTGGTTTTTCTCAATTTCGTCCTAAACGACTTTGGTGACCTAATATCGTCCCAGATTTTTGTGTTTCGCTCAATTTAGTCCCAGACTTTTGTGTTTTTGCTCAATTTAGTCCCTCATTTGTTATTCTGTCCATTTGGTGTTAAATCAATAGACAATTCAGTAATTTTAATATTGGCATCTCTTTACTCATAGACATGTGAACTGCAAAATCCTTTTTTTTTTACGAATTACTCCCAGAATTAATCCTAAAACTGCGAATATAAAATTTGATTTGCAGGTCCGGGAGTAATTCTGGGTGTAATTCGTACAAGAAAGAAGAATTTCGCACTTCACAAGTTGAAAGTAAAGAGAGATCAATATTGACATTACTGAATTGTCCCTTTATCTAACACCAATTTGACGGAATAACAAATGGAGGACTAAATTGAGCAAAACACAAAAGTCTGGGACGATATTAGGTCACCAAAGTCGTTTAGGACAAAATTAAGAAAAACCACTATAGTCGAGGACGATTTTGGGTATTAACTCCTTTTCTAAATGAAAGGTCATGAGTTTGAGCCCCGATTTTGCATATGGGAAAATATATTTAATACAATGTGAGTAATTTGAGTATGATGTTTGGTGGGTATTATATAAAATTTATTGAAAAAATATTCAAAATAATTAATAATATTTAAAAACTCCTACTCCGCCCTCTTTTCTCATATTTAAATACTCTCCGCCATTACTACGACTCTTACAAACATACAAAGTCTTATAGACAGAGAGAGCACAGCAATGGCGAACGCCTCGACTTGCGTATTCCTCTTCATCTCATGTCTGTTAATCGCATCTCTCTTCACCGTCGACGCCGGCGGCGACCTCGACATGGCCGGATGGATGCCGGTTAAGGCGGCGGAAGGCGGCAGGTGCCAAGGCTCCATAGCGGAGTGCATGGCGGCGAGCGGCGGCGAAGAATTCGAAATGGACACGGAGAGCAACCGGCGCATCTTAGCCACGAGCAATTACATTAGCTACGGCGCGCTGCAGAGGGGCAACACGCCGTGCTCCCGCCGCGGCAGCTCTTACTACAACTGCCAGCCGGGCGCTCAAGCTAACCCCTACACCCGCGGCTGCAGCGCCATTACTCGTTGCCGGAGTAGTTGATTTTCTATTCTATCTATCATTTCATTTTTAGTTGTATCATATCATATCATATGCTACCACGCTCTTTTACTTTTATATAACATGTGACACAGTAATCTAAAAATAAAAAAGTTATCTCATATTTGTTTATTGTCATTTGTACAAATTTTTCTACATTTTGAGCTTCTTCATGGTTGATTGGTAGGAATGACAACGGGACAGAGCGGGGACGGAAAGTATACTCGTCCTTGTCTCTAAAACCTGGATCCGTTTGAATTCCTGTCCTCATAGGGAATTAGGCCGAGACGAGGAATCCCTGTCCCCGATCAAAATTTTTAAACTAATGTAATTTTTAATTTTAAAATTAAAAATCTAAGTCTTAATTATATATATATATATATATATATATATATATATGACTAGTTTTTTTATTTATAATAATTATTCGGAAACGGGGCGGGGAAGGGTATCATCGTCTCCGTTCCTGTCCTCTAAAAATTTTCCCTATTTCAGGATGGGGAGTAGAAATTTATGTTAGGGACGGGACAAATTGCCATCCCTATCGATGGTTGGTGGTTTAATTTTTAGTTTTTGATTTTTTTGAGGGGATTTTGAAGCATTCAAAAGGTTCCTGCTAATAATTTATTAATGTCAATGCCGGGAAGAGTCATGGTTAGGTGCACCTACAGGTTTTCATATATTAGTTAGGCTATATATCCTGTGTAACGCTGTGCGGTGTAATGTAAACTCAAAATAATAAAATATAGAGAAATGTAAACATAAAATAATAAACTATATAGAATAACATAAAAAAGTAACTCTAGTATGAGATAATCGAATAATTAACTTAGTAGTTACAATATTTTAAATTTAACTATGAAAACAGCTTATTAGTCTTCATAGCAATTTAAACTCATGGTATGGGTTTAAGAAGATTACGAGAATTTAATACCCTAATTCTTTGTTGGCTAGAATGTATAAAGCGAAATACTATGGTAATACCAGTTTCTTTGATGCAAATTTGGGCAACAATCTCTCCTTTATTTGGAGGAGTACTCTGCTCAAACTATTCTTAAACAGTGTTGTAGATGGAGATTCTATCAATGTGTGGAGAGACCCTTGGCTGCCAAACAATCAATGTCCATATATTCAAACACCAAGCTCATCCCACATAAATAGCATGATGGTGGCTGATTTACTGATTCCTAACACCTCTTCTTGGAATGAAACTCTTATCAACTCCCTCTTTGAGCATGATGACAGGATCCTAATTAAAACTTAAAAGCATCCCCCTCCCAGAAACAAAAACAAGTGATAAAATCATATGATCTGAAGATGACAAGGGAGTTTACACGGTTAAAAGTTGCTATAAAAAGCTTATGGGAAATGTGCAATCTGGTCATTCCTAAGCTGGACAAAATTCTGGAAACTCAAGCTTCCCCCAAAGAATAAAACATTTTTTCTGGCAGCTTTGCTCTTCTTCCCTGTCGACCCATGATCGCCTGAAAACAAAGAACGTCCCTGTCCTAGATGTGTGTCAGTTGTGTACTCTTGAGGAGGAATCTCCAATTCATCTATTTTTTAGATGCCCTCTAGCAAGAAACTGTTGGGACATCATTGGTGGAATCGACTTCCTCTCTAGCTCCACTATATTTGAATGACTCGAGTTTATTTTCTCTACCAAATCTGATCATGAATTATGTGTTATTATCTCTAGTTGTTGGAAGATTTGGGATGCAAGAAATGAAAAGATTTGGAACCAGTCCATCTTATCTCCTTCCTTTATCTGTCACTATGCACTAAATTATCTATCTGATTGGTCTTCTGTTAATGCTACTGTTATCACTGCTACCAGGTTTTCTCATGAAAACATTGCTTGGTCCAGACCACCTCCCGGAACCCTCAAGCTCAACGTTGATGCAGCTCTTTATCATAGCAATCATAAGATGGGATTTGGTTTTGTCCTCTGTGATTCTACAGGCAACCTTATTGCAGCCAGGTATCTTCCTTGGTGCAGCACTTACAAACCAGCAGAGGCAGAAGCCATTCAAATCCGGGAGGCCTTGAAGTGGATTAAACATCAACATGTTAACAGCATTCATGTAGAGAGTGACTGTCTTCAAGCTATTAACGGCATTCATCATTCTTATGACTACTTTGTTCTCATTCTTGATGATATTAGATACATAGCTTCTAGATTTACAAACTTAAACTTTTTTGTTTGTTAAACGGTCTGCGAACAAGGTTGCCCATTGCCTTGCTAGGGAAGCCTTGTCTATGTCTGACTGTATGAACTGTCTTTCCTTACCGTTTCCTTCCATTGCTCACGTTTTGAGCTTAGACCTTATTTAATGAAATCAGTTTCTTGTTTTCAAAAAAATTAAAAAAAAAATTGATTAAAGTAAACTTTATTCATAGAAGAGATACTACCTTGTAAAAAATCATGAATGTCTAAAAAAAAACGTAAATTTTACTCAGAATACACCTTCAATCAAACTACACTACATAAAATATAAAGAAAATTTTAAAATGTGACAACTTTCTCTTTTAAAAGAATGATAATGTCAACTGTCAACCAGCAAATGTCGAACTTCACTCTACTGTGCACTGGAAGATTATGGAAAATTTCGTCTTTGGCTTTACTGCCATCTATGTCACACGAGGGGGGAAGGGGTGGGAAACTGAGTTTCAGGCAGGGGATAAGTTAGATGTGAAATGCTAATCCAGAAAGTGATCTGAGCCGTTCAAAATTTGATCATCTGCTCTTCTTTGACGTTGATGATTTATCGCTTGTCTGATCTGCATACGGATATTCTGGTGAAGCAGCCCATAGGCCTCCCAGAATGGCTAAATGCGCAGAGAGGAGGACGACGGAGGAATATACGTTGGAAGGGTAGACATTCCAGCACAACTCCACTACCAAGAACAGCACTAGACTGGAGAAAAGTGTGAACCATTAAAACGAGCAAACACAAAATGATAAGAGGACTAGAAATTGAATCAAATAACGTACCGGACAAATGTAGGGAATGGTGTTTTCCACAATAGATATGGTATGCTGTAAAAGTACCTGGAAGAACAGAACAGAACAAAAGAGCAACATCAATGGAGTTTCTAATTCATTTGAAAGCTACGGTTTGGATGGGATATTTCTCTTCGGGGATCGGGGAAGATTGAACAGATGCCCAAGGGTATAAGAGCTGGTTGGTTGCAATTGTATTTTTGCATCTTGACTTGATTAATACAAATCGCTATAGTTATCTAATCCCCTAAGTTTCATTTACCAAGATGGATCACATGAAGGTACTTGGATATGTCACAAAATGAATGAATTCGGACACTACTAATGAAGGTTGCAGAACTTACCAAGAGTAAAACTGATAATGAAGGGAGCGAGCACATATGATGCCGATAAAATTCCCAACAAACATTGTACTCACAATATCTGATACAGCCAAATGAAAATATTTGATATCCCATTAAAAAAGGGGGAAACCCCGCAAATAAAAACAATCTGTCAGAAGATGTTAATTGTGAAACTAATAAAAGGAAGGTGGAAGAGAATTCACATCCATGAGAAGATTTTGCATGCAAACTTACGATCGGGTTGAAGACGTTTGTGGGTTAAGTTCTGACTGGAGAGTGGTTTACGAGATAAGGAAAATAAAGTTACTATTCTATGCTTCAGTTGAACAATCCTAGACTGCAAGAAAGCGAAAAGTCCTCCTTCATGTCTGCAAAAGGTAGATAATTGAGGAATTTCAAGTTGAGTCCACTGTTCCATTAAGAGCATGTCTAGGAAAGCTAGGAAAAAAATGTGAACTGATATCTTTTGGGCCGAACCAACATTGTGGCAAAATAACATATCCCTTCTCTTACTATCTCATCCAAAAAGTACAACGGGAATGAAAGACCAAGGGCTTCCTATTCTAATGTACTCACTATTCAAGAAAGTGTGGAAACATTAATGCTTACCTGCACCATCTATAGTGAGCAAAAACAATAAGCAGAGTCAGGTGAGCAGCCAACAAAGAGAGAGCAAATGGCTTCGAAACAAATAGCTGCTCAGGAACAAATTTGAAGTTAACAGACCTGCAATAAAGTAGAAGTATTAAATATATTGTGCATAAATAAAAAGCAAATAATACTTTTATGGATTATGATATTATAATTGGAGACTTCAGTGAGTAATGAAATCAATAATTTTTATAGGATTTGCCATAAGGTGTGCTATGATCAAGCAGAGATCTTTTATTCTTTTTTTTTTTTTCAGAATCACTAAAGGTCTCTCAAAATGATTAGTTCAAAGCTGCTATTAAAATTATTATTCATCCAAAAGTTACAATCTGCCAAAGATTGTGCATTCTCCAGAAACACAAAAACTCTCTCAATCTTTTCTTTTTACAAGTCAATAACTCTATTAATTATTACTCCGCACTTGAAACTAGTGCTAGACTTCCCATAACATATTATTGCTTAATTCTTGTGTACCTTTGTGTAATTTTTTCTATAAATTTCCATAAATCCCCACCATTCGTATATATCGACATAAATAGAAAATATATATGCTACTAAAGTTTTGTACTTTTTCATACACAGTATGTTCTTATATTACCAATTAATCTAACATATAACATATCTCCATTTACTTTGTGTTTAAGAAAGTACCAAAAGTGGATGAATACACGACCAAGATTGAAAGCTCTTGATATGTACGAAACCGGATGTTGTAAGATAAAAGGCAGCCCTAAGAGAATCTGCACCAGTCACAATTGTATTGCAAGTGATGAAGTGTTTGATCACCAAATAGCTCCATTCAGTACAATCTAATCGGTAATCTGACTCACCTGATCATGAAGAAAAACAAATGCGCTAGTTAAACATCAAAGAATAAGGAAGGACCTCAATAACATGCCATGCACAAACTCAAATAAATAAGCACCTGCACCAGCGCTGCCCCAGCTAAGGCAGATATCACTCCATCAATAGGCATTGCCTGTATGTCAAATACAGCAGAGAGCTTATTTAGGAATATGCACAAAGCTAAAATTAAATTCTTCAAAGCCTGGCCTAACGTAAATAACAGTATATACCTTCATCATGAGGAGCAATAAAGGTGGAGCATAAAGAAGCACATTCATTTTCACTGAAACGGCTGCACTGTACCAAGAGGATAATTGATAATTACTCTTTATCAACCCCAAAGTTGCTAGAAATGATAGTTCCAACAAAATAAAAAAATCACAGAGTAAAACAAAACTACCTGAAGATTATTAGACCTAGATGCCACTTCTGATAAAGAAGCAAGAGCAGTGCACCGTGTAGGATAGTTGTGGCTAAACAATCATTGAACAAGCGAAGCACAAAGATGGAGTGAACCCTTTTGGACAGAGAAAGCAGTGACAAAGCCCACCAGGGAACCTGTGGTACAGTAACTCAAACTTTCTGGAAACGACTTCAAAGTCAATTCTACAATTTAAACTATTTTACTCTTATGAAGTCTGAATTAACACAATAATTTGATTTTACTGCAAAAAAATATGCTATGTAGCATTTAATTTGACAAGCACTTTCATTTCATAAGTCATAACTCATAAGTGAAGCCCCATACCACATCAGTCTTCAGATAGATGACCAAGGTAATTCCATGATTTAGAATATAGAGAAGGCCAAACAGAATCTGCAATGGCATCAATTAACCAGAATTAGATATGACAAAGTTAATGCCTTTCACTTGAAATCAGGATTAGGGGAGAAATCTAAGGATCACTTGGTGTTTCATAGTGGGCATTAGTTCATAAACAAACTGAAAGAAAGTGAAGCAAACAAAATACCTGAGCAAGAAAGACCTGGCCTCCTGTAACATATTGTATGGCAGAATAAAGGTAGAGAAAGCCAGCTGGGTATACTAGAGGCCCAGTGTCACCTTTCAGGTTCTCGTAATCCCTCTCTCCTCCGAGAAAACCACTCACCTATTCATCAACGAGTAAATCAGCAAAGTACTGAAATCAGAAACCAAAACTTGAAGCAAAATTAGACTCAAACCTGAGACATATAAGCATCCCAATCTATCTTTGTATCTGAAACCAATGAATTGCCACATAATAATTAAGAGAAAATTCACAAAACAGAAGAAGATAGAAATAGGGGTGGAGTGTGGATTGCTGATATTTACATGGAACATAGGCGATGATAAGCGCAACAAGTATGGACTCGGCAACGATCAAAGCAAAACCGAAGTGTAATTTAGGATTCTGAAATCTTCGCACAGCGTTGCGCTTAGCGGCAGATCGAGCCGCCATGGTTGCTTACGCCGTTGGGGTGTTCGTTGCAATTATAAATGGACCGATATAACGATTACAATACAAAAAAATAAAAAATAAATAATACTAATAATAATAATACTAATAATAATAATAATAATAATAATAATAATAATAATAATAATTACTAAAATAGTCCCTTGACTATAATAAAATTATTAATTTGGTCTTTGATTATTTTTTTTGATCAATTAAGTCCTCAACTTTAAAAATCTTAACTAATTTGGTTATTCGTTAGTTTTGTTGTTAGACTTCTGCTAACTTGGGACCAAATTGATAATTTTTCTATAGTCAAGGGACCATTTCAGTAATTAACTTTAGGTGTGCACAATTCGGTTTAATTCTCTCGAACTAAATCGTACCGAATTTTAAAGTAATTAATCGTACCGAACGATTCGGTAAAAAACTGATTGGAAGTACCGGTTTCCATTTCATTTTTGAATACTAATATGAGTTCAACTAGGGGTCTCAGTGTCCAAGCGCTTATTGACTTTATTGATTTAAATCGATTAGTTATGAGCAATCTAAATTGGTTTATATTCTTATTATACCTTGTCAATTATAATTACTGATGGGAATATTGGGTATGGGCTGGAGACCAGGTAAGCTGGAGTTATTGGGGCTAGGGGTACAGGGGGTTTTGGGCAGGGGCAGCACGCCGCAGGGTGGCCGGCTCTGGCCCCAGCCGGCTACGGCGCTCCAAGGGCGCGGGTCTAGCGCCCCCGCGCAAGGACGCGAGGCTGCCCACCGCCAGGGCGTGTCGCCGGCTGGGGCACTGGCCCTGGCGCGGGGCGCGGCCTACGGTGCCGTGGTAGGTTACCCGGGTAGCCCAGGGGCGAGGTGCGTGTAGGGGGCGCGAGAATTTCGGAGGCATGGTGAACGTACGGAAACGAAGGGAGTGGCGTCTAAAGCACATGGGACACGTGGATGTCTAGAAGGGGAGGGGACAGGCTATAAATAGGGGTCCCGGATCCTTAGCAAGGGGCAACTCAAACAAGACAAGTATTACGGTTCAATGGTCTTGATCTCATACTATCAATCCAGTCACTTGGGTTTGATTCCTACCAGTAGCATAGCTAGCTATAGCCCATTATATGGGCCTTGTTCTTTGTATTTAGACCGCTATTTTGGGTATGTACCTCGAGCTTTGTACGCATTGTTCTGGGTCTAGCGCCCTACCCCATTCTGTATCTATGTACCCAGAACCATCAATTACAAAGTAGTTTATTCAGTGCAAACTTGAGATAATGGTTGCATATTTTTCTCAAAATAAAAAATAAAAAAAATTGGAAAGCAGTGCTGGCAGTCATTAGACTCCACGTGTACATTTGCAGCCATCACCTCTTTAGGAATTAGGACATGTGTCTTCCCGCGAATGCTGAAACGTTTCTGGAATGAAACAGTTGCTTCTCTTTATAAAGAAACACCCCCTCCGGAAAATCCTCCACAGCGCTCTTTCGTTTCGCTTGCTCGTCTCCGCTCCTCCGTTTCTTTCGCCCTTTCGTCCATTCTACCACAACGCTATTATCATCTCATCTCCATGGCTACCCAACAGCTCAAACACAGAACAACAACAACCCCAGAAGAAAGAGAACAATTCCAACCGACGACGACCCAAGATACAGCAGAGATGAACAGCACCGCCAGAACACGGCGACAGAGAGCCAAACGCGGCCTTAGATCACTCGGCATCGCCGTCGCCTTCCCCCTCTCCCTCACGCTTCTGGACATCACTCTTTTCGGGTCGAGCCAGCAGTACCGGGCGATGGAGAAGCCGTTCTGGGTCCCGCGCCTTTGGGCGCTGCACTTGGCCTGCTTGGGCTCCGCCTTCCTTATGGGCCTCTCGGCGTGGCTCGTCTGGGCTGAGGGCGGCTTTCACCGCTACCCCACCGCCATGCTCTTATACCTCTGCCAGCTCGCGCTCAGCCTCGCCTGGGACCCCGTCGTCTTCAAGGCCGGAGCTACCAGAGCCGGGCTCGTGTTGTGCGTCGGATTGCTCGGCGCGTTGGTCGGCTGCTCCCGCTCTTTCAAGAACGTCAACCCCATCGCCGGCGACCTAGTCAAACCTTGTCTAGGATGGGCCCTGCTTCTCTCTGCTACAAATTTTAAGCTTGCATACATATGATGATGCATACACGTACACAACCATCCTGCATGTCTTCTTGCAGATGTTATTATAATGTAATATTACATCTTAGGTTTTGATCCAGCACTTGAACTGCAAGCTTATAATAATGCAGGTTTGTTTACCATTTTGTGTATTTTATTTTTGTTTAATATAGTATTACATATAGTGTAAGAAGGATACAGAAATGCCAAATCATTTGATGGTATTGCATTTCAATAAAGAAACTTTCTTTTCATACTTACCACTAACATTCATACTTTATATGAAGATAACCATTATATTTTTCTAAATGACGAGATGAATTTGCAATTATTATCTGATGATATTTGCTAGGTAAATTCTATTTTGTAATTCTAATAAGTAAATAATTATAAATTATTATCTGATGATATTTGCTAGATAAATTCTATTTTGTAATTCTAATAAGTAAATAATTATAAAGAAGTAAATTATTCCTTCAAGCGAAGAAGGCTAATAAATTGTTTTTTTGTTGGGAGTTGAATATGTGACTTTGTGAATTCTTGCTAGAGTTTGTGAGAATCTACTCATTCTGGCAAAGTCTTCTCAAGGTAACTGAGATTCTTCTCTTCTGGCTGATTTCTCTGCCTTCCCATTCTTGAAACCCAGGCTTGCGGTTTATCTCATGCTTCCATAGGTATCTTGCCTCTCCCCACATTAAGGCTAGTGAACCAGGGGTCAAAAGGACTGGTACTTTGTTTGAGGGAATAACTCTCCCACATTCGTTCTCTTCAGTTTCAACTCTTGTGAAATGCATCACACAGGTAGACTCCAAAGAGACGACGGCGATTCCGTCTTCAAATCGCATGAGATCAACATGTGCACATATTCCCTGAGTTCAAAGTAAAAGAATCCACATTGAATGCAATGGAAGAACACAAACTATAACTAAGCAAACAGGGGTTGGTTTGGAAAGTGTTAAATAGATGAAAGAGATTAGTTGGTATAACTTCGACTCGACTGGTCTCTATTTAAGAGAAGATTTATGGTAGGAAAAATTGAACTGTTTTCGATTCAAGCCCAACTATATACATTTGAATTGCCTTACAAATCAATCATGACACTGTTTTTGCCATTTGACTCTAAGTCTCCTTAAACCTGCCAAATATTTAACAAGCATGAAGTATTGTGATGGACAGGTTACAAGCTTCCATTCTTAGAAAATGGACAGCAAACATCTACTAATCAGTACACTATTTACCAAACGATTATTCCATTGATTTACTCTGTCAGGTTACAGACTAACATGCGCGATGAACAATAATGTTTCTATAACTTGTAATGCATACTTTAATTCTACTTTTCATATGACAATAGCCTAGAGAAAAGAACTACTTTGTGAATAGAGTGTTAGACAACAAATCTGCTAAATAATGTTATGGATGAAGTAACCAACATAGGTTTCAAAAGTCAATCGCACCTCACCTGGTTCGTACGCGTTTGCAATAAGCTGATCAAACAGCGGTTCCCTCCATAGTAAATCTGGGGGGTAGAGAGTTGCTTCTTGGCCATTCCCACAGTTTGCTAAGCCGGGGGGCTCCCGAACATAATTATTAAGAAGCACTACTTCGCGAATAGAGTTGGAAAGTTCAACTGCCCATTCTGGAAGGTCTCCAAATCTCATAGCCTGCAAAGAAGAAGCATGAGGTTGAGTCGAGTACACAGATAGCTTTAGTTTCATACTTTCATATCTTTCCAGGAAGAACAAGTACAGTAATTCTCATCCAAACTCTAGATTAATGAATATGTTCATAATTAAGAGTAAAAGACAATATGGGGCTAATCTGATAGATGATTAGTACTGATCACCCAGTACATAATCAGGACATCAGTTCCATGCTTGGAGAAAGAAAATGCTAGTTGAACAAATTGGGTCAGTTTGTCAGGCATAATGACCATCTCTACCTTCCCTTCCAATCACTTCTTCTGAACCTAACCTTCTCCCAAAAAATACCAAAAATCACACAGTCAAACTGATTCATGAACAAAGATATAGCAAAAGTCTCAAAGATTGTGTCTTCATCTATCTGCACAGAACATCCATTTCAACCTTGAATGGCCAAATACATATAAAGAAACCATCTTTGGCACACTGAACTTTTCCCACAGATGAAACCTCAAAAGCCACTATGTATGGGAAATTTTTAGTCCAAAGACTAATCTGAAGTTCAGCACGACCAACACAGAGTTGAGAGTACAGTGCAATTATGTTCAGTCAATAGCTTATTTACATAATTAACAGGTACAACCGCTGATCACTTATCTATGCCAATTAGTAAAGCACACCGTCTATATCAACAATTCCAAGCACATCAATAAAACAAATGAAGAAACAAACACGAACAACAAAGTCGGATTATAACTAAAAGACCTGGTTCTGTGATGCCTCGGTGAACCATCCTTCTGCAGCACAATAATCACGAAGAGAAATAATGAGATTCAAGAAATTCAAAATTGATCATCAGAGTGGGAGGTGATTACCTGCTTGGATTGCTGAGATCAGTAAACATTGCTGATCAGAGGAGAGAAAATCTCTGCACAACCACAGGCCATTGATCTCGGTGATTTGTTCCCAGGACCGCTTCGCTCCGAATATCGATTCTGATTCGCTGATGCTTGAACTTTTGAGCTCCCTCAATTCATCTTCCGCCTCGCTGTCTGATGATTCACCGAATGCTTCTCTAAGTATCGCCTTCAGCTCCTCCATTCTTACAGTAAAAATAGAAGGTCGAAACCTGAATATTGTGTTATACAAGCAGCCCCTATTTATAGGTATAGGAATGACGATGTAAAAATGGATTTTTTTATTTTATTTTATTTTTTTTTGCTACTGAAGAAAAAAAAAAAAATCAAACTCATGACCTTCAACTTGAGATAATGTCACTAGATCACAAGTTCATTGAAAGACAATTTTAATTCATTAGTTATGGTTAAATTGTAAACTCAGTTTATAAATTAGTGCTCTATACAACTTTTTTCCTTTAATTATGTTAAAAGTAGTAAATTTTGTTAACATTACAAATTTATTTTTTGAAAATAAACAACTTCATTAGTTAAGATCCTCACAATAACAAGAGTGGGAGGAGTAATCATTATTATGTGAACCATGATCTACAAAGTTACGTGGATCATACTATTAAATAATGTACATTCGGTACACATATAATGTACTTTTAGTATATTAAAAATATATATTGTATTCAGGGAAATTACATATTTTAGTATTGAAAACACATTATTTTGTATAATGTACATTCAGAACACGAATAATGTATTTTTAGTATATTTAAAATGTATTTTTTATTATGATCCGCATAGCACTGTGTAGACCATGGTCCACACAATAATTTGACGTAGGAGGAGGGACGTTCTTCCATTCCCTACAATAGGTAATGAACATGGCCTCCCTAGCTAACACATGGACTGCCCTATTCACTGATCGTTTAGTAAATATAAAGCTAATGACAATGAGTTCACTAGATAGATTCTTAATATCCTCAAGAATAAGACCAAAAGAGAAAATACAAGATAAATCATTCAAGCCATTTATAATAAGTCGTGCATCTGATATCATTCAAACCATTTATAAGACCAAAAGAGAAAATACAAGAGAAATTACTCAGACCATTTATAATAAGTCGTGCATTTAATATCATTCAGACAATTTATAATAAGTCGTGCATCTGATTCCACAAGGATAGAATAGCATCACAGCGATTTAGTCAATTTCAATGCCTTTATGACCGTGACCGCTTCGACTGTTTTGAGGACATAGGAGCCCTTTGATCATTTTGTAAATTTTTTTCAAGTATAACAAAATAAGCTTTCACATTAATGATTTTCAATTGAATGTTGGATTTATTGTAATGTTGATTACATGATTTACTTATGAGTTGAGTCATGAATTTAGACATAATTAATGGACTAAAATTGTTATTTTTCTATATATCAATAGTTAAATTATACAGGGTAATACAAATTCTTTATATACCACCTTGATTTACAAAAAAATTTATAAATAAAATTAACTCTTTAAATTAATTTAAATTGCACATAATTTACATACTCAAACTAAAAAGACTGAAATACAAGAATTTGTATCAAATCCTATGGTGATTGCTTTCATCTAGAAAGTTCAAGTCTATACAAGAAGTTTGATGTGAACTTCTTTTGGACAACTAGGACTTTTTTTTTTTTTTTTTTTAAAGAACTATTACTATTTAAAAATATATTATTAAATCACTAACATATGGAGTATCAACTTTAAATCATTATCACTTTTTAACACAAAAAGTACATGTTTCACATAGATAACATTATTGGTAGCTAAACATATAAAGAAGCAGAAGTTGTTATTAATTATTGCCTTGATTGGGTTCATAGTCATGGACAACATGGAGTAATTATTTGATTTGATTTTATTTTAAAAAAAATTTGCTACCATGATTTCGGCCCACTAATAACGGAGCTGCCGGTTTGATCCCTCCGCTTTTCTCAGTGACCTTTCACGTATCTCAATCGTTGATAGTGAACTGTGAATATTCGTCGGCGGGGATTCCGGCGACATAAGTCTAACGCCTTACCGGCAAAAGAAAAAAAGAAGAAGATAAAAGTGCGTATGGAGCTAATGACTCATTCCTCCTCCTTTCTCCTCCCGACTCCTCCGGCCGACAACGGCCCGGCTATAACGTACGCACTTGTCGTCCTCAACCAAAGCCTCCCTCGATTCACTCCTCTGCTCTGGAAGTACGGTGATTTCTCTTCTCCGTCTCGCGCTCTCGCGCCTTCTCGTCTTGAAACTTGTGATTTTTTCTGAGCATGGCGTTGTGGCTTGTTGTGTAGAGCAGCACAGCTCCATGTCTGCGCCGATGGTGGAGCCAATAGACTGTATGATGAATTGCCTCACGCCTTCCCTCATGAAGACGCATCTGATGTTCGCAAGAGGTTTGTTGCGATTTTCGCGAGATTGAGTGATTGATTTCCTGTGAAACAGTGATATACTGTTTGGTATTTCTATTGTTTATTCGTTCATTAGATATTATCTTATTCATCATCTGATTTGTTTGGATCTTTTGCATATATTATAAAAGAAGTGATGAATTGAAATACTGAAACCGGAGAACTGATCAGAAAGGCCGGGAGAGGCGCGATTGAGCATATGATATTTCTTTGGCATTTTATACCACTTAATACTACCTGAGATCTTTAGAGTTATTTTCTAGGTGATGCTAACTTGGATTTGTTGCGTTTGCTTTAACACATGGAGACCAAAACAAATGTAACATCATCTTTATGCAATTATGCATATTTCATTTATTGCCTTTTAGACGCATGCTTTTTCATGTTTTATTGGCTTTATTGGCAGTCTAATCACAGATATAAATATTTCCACTGGAGATAATTTTTTGGCTTCTAGCTCTTTGGGTCTTCGTTGACCCCTAATAAAAGTGTTATGGCATATTGAAGTATCAAAAGCCCCAAAATCACTAGATACCAAGTTATGCTTTATTAGATGCCCTTTTCTTTATTATAGATTTGTTATTTCCTAATGCATATTGCATTTGCACTAAATCACAGCTTCATTGCAGGTACACACCAGATGTCATAAAAGGGGACATGGATTCAATCCGAAGTGAAGTTCGAGACTTTTATACTGGCCTCGTAAGCTAGCAGTTACACTTTTGGCACATTTTTGTTGCATAGGGCTGTAGGAGTTTTTGTGTATCTTGTCTTGTGATTTACATCAAGCTTTTGCTCAGTGTATTATATTTTGATTTAATTAAATGGTTAAGTGAAGAGAATGCCTTCCCTGGTTCTATAGTTTTGTTTTTTCAGCATGCTTCTCTACCTTATGTTCACGTTGCCTTAAAGTTCAGTTTATTAGGCTTCCTGTTTAACCTTTTGATGAATTGATGCGGAACTTTCTGGGTTGTTGCAGGGCTCAAAAGTTGTAGATGAATCTCATGATCAAGACACCACAGATTTGCATAAATGTGTTGCTTATATTCATGACTTATCTCACATGAAAACCACGAATGTAAGTTTTATCTCCTGAAATTCTATTACCTACAGCAGTAAAAAAAAAACCCAAATGCTTATGCCTGACAACAGTTGAAAATTGACCTTCTGATTCATCTGTGGTATAATTTTACCTATTATTGCAATCTTTTATTAGATGGATTGTTATAATGTTTCATATTTGTTGTTCTGACACAACTCTTTCTCAAATGTGATCTTGGACTATGGAGTCACGAGAAACATACAGGCAGTTATTAGACGGAGTAACCCAATGGTTGATAGCCAGCAGGCAACATTTTGCATCCTGAGTGGAATCATGAAATAGAAATCTGTTTCGAGTGATTTATATTTTATGGACATTAAGTTGACTGTAGCTATAATTTCAACTTTTTATATGTTGTAGTTGTGCATTCTTGTTGTTGGAGCGCTTGGTGGAAGATTTGACCATGAGATGGGAAACATCAATCTTCTCTATCGATTTGCAACAACAAGAATAGTTTTCCTATCTGATGATTGCCTCATCCAACTTCTTCCAAATACCCATCACCATAAGATTCATATCCACCCCTCTCTTGAAGGCCCACATTGTGGTCTCATTCCCATTGGAATGCCTTCTGGGAGAACCACAACCACTGGGCTCAAGTGGAATCTAGGTGAGTATGCTTGAGATAAAACTTACATTGCTCTTGTCATCAATACAAATCTCGTATTCCCTACCTGGTGTTCATGCAGCTCTGCATTACTAGTTAATTCTCAAGCCACACTTCTTATCCTCCCATAAAGTGTACTATTAGAAGAGGAAACAGGCCCCTTGTTCCCCTACCTACCCCATTTTCCTTTTCTTTTCATTTCTCCTTCATTTGATGGGTTTCATAATGATTCTTGGGCTGGTAAAGATTACATGTGAGATCTGAGCACAGCTTCTCTGGTCAATTTCTGAATTGTTCACTATGTTGGGAGTCCAAGTGTCTAACATACTTCTACTATTCTCTTTTCAGCTAATACTGAAATGAGGTTTGGCAGTCTAATCAGCACCTCAAATATTGTCCAAGAAGATGTAGTTACTGTGCAATCGGAATCTAATCTTCTTTGGACAATCTCTATCAAAAAGCCATGAGGTATACAACATGTAAGACCTTTGCTGAGGATGCTTTAACAATCACCTTGGCTTTAATACTAATCAACACTTTTTGGATTCTCCGTATCATTGTTTTGTCCCTTTAAGATGGAGCATTTGAACAATTATTGTAATATTTCTTTAGTTAAGGAATATAGTCTTTGTATTAGTCCATTTACGTGTACACAGTACTCTTGTCCAAGTAAGTTTGTAATTTGCTAAAAATTTTACAATATCAAACATTGTGCGTGATTTGGTATTCTCATAACCATTAGATTACATGTTTCTTATTTGGTATTCTTAACTCTGGTGAAAAGTCAAATGTATATATATATATATATATATATATATATATATATATTAGTTACTCATTGTCCATCACTTTCTTTTTTTCTTTTTTGTGGGGAGAGAGGGGGTTAGGAAGGGAATATGACATATTGTAATATGGAAGCATCCTTCCACTAAAATGAAACTTGTTTGATGAATAATTATCCCTTCAATATCGAACGTTTATATAACATTAATGAATATAAGTAATATCAGTAATATCACATTAACGAGTATAAATAATGACTAAATTAAATATATTAGTTTGAAAAGATTTTTGTACATGCTAATACTCTTGATTCGGTCCATTATATTATTTCTAAATAAATTTAACTATTAATCAAGATAAAGATATTGTGACTCTTGATTAGATCCATCATACTATTTCTAAATAAATTAAACTATTAATCAAGATAAAAATATTGTGATTCAATTGAAAAAAAAAAAAAAAAAAAAAGTTATTAGATTAATATAAAGCTAACTTGCACGTGTAATCCGCGACTTGAGTTCGGTTCTTTTAAGGATTAGAGCTCTAATAATCCACTGAAAGCAGGCTTCGATTTTGGCGGCAAAGCGTAGCGTAGCGGTTGATGGCCGTACCGCTTAGGGTTATATGCGCGCGCTTTTGCTTCAACCACAGAACTCGTCTGAACTGAAATTATACTTTGGAGACTTCAGTTACGATTTACGCACTGCAATAGATTACACATTGAGCTTAGAACTGTGGAGAATTTGTGATCGGTTGTCACTGTCCTACAACAGTGAGACTCAATCGCATGGAGGGAGGAGCAGCTTCATCTTCCGATTCCCCAACCATCAAGCCCATCAACAAGGGCGTCGTTCACCGGATTTGTGCTGGCCAAGTCATTCTCGACCTTTCCTCTGCCGTCAAGGAGCTGGTGGAGAACAGCTTAGACGCCGGCGCCACCAGCATCGAGGTTGCCCTCAAAGACTACGGCGGCGAATCATTCCAGGTCATCGACAATGGTTGCGGCATTTCTCCTCACAATTTTAAGGTTCATCTAAATCTTTGCATTTTTTTTTTTTCATTTAAGCTTCAAAATTTTGTGTCGCTCTCTTTTTGCCTATGTGAAGGTCAAAGCTTTTCTTCGTTTTTAATCCTCAAAAATTTTAAGCGCAATGCATCAGGATAGCTCACTGTTTGTAGTGTTTATTGATTTTTATTTTTATTTTTGGTTTGTTTGTCCTGATTGCATTTGATACTTTTGTTCAATTACATCAGTTTCTGAGTGGTGTATATTTGGCTTGAAGGTTCTCGCTCTGAAGCATCATACATCAAAGCTATCAGATTTTCCTGACCTTCAGAGTTTAACTACTTTTGGGTTCAGAGGGGAGGCATTGAGTTCCCTTTGTGCTTTAGGGGATTTAACTGTGGAGACAAGAACTAGGAATGAACCAGTGGCAACACACTTGATTTTCAATCATTCTGGGCTTCTAATAGAAGAAACAAAGACCGCAAGGCAAGTTGGTACCACAGTCACCATTAAGAAGTTATTCTCCAATTTACCTGTAAGAAGTAAGGAGTTCCATCGCAACATTCGCAAGGAATATGGGAAGCTTATCACTTTGTTGAATGTAAGCCTGCTTTCCCGGACATTTTCAACCTAGAGTAGGATGTTAGGGCATATTCTGGATATGGAATTTTTTGCATTTTTCAGGAAAAAGAGAAAACAAAAATGGAAAAATGGAGTGTTTAAGTTGAAATATCTTCCAAATGGAAAATTGGAAAAATATTCTCCATTTTCCCAACTTTTTAAAATTTCGAAAATTGATTTCCATACTAGACTAACCCTTTCTCTTTTCTGGGATTCAGGCCTATGCTCTGATTGCTAAAGGAGTTAGATTGCTTTGCTCCAATACAACTGGAAGAAACGCGAAGTCTGTAGTACTAAAGACACAAGGAAATGGATCCCTGAAAGATAACATCATAGCAGTATTTGGTATGAGCACCTTTTCCTGTTTAGAGCCTGTTAAAGTATGTGTACAAGATGGTTGCACAATTGATGGCTTCATTTCCAAGAGTGGAAATGGAAGTGGGCGGAATTCGGGAGACCGGCAATTCTTCTTTGTAAATGGTCGGCCAGTAGATATGCCCAAAATCAGCAAACTCATAAATGAACTGTATAGAGCTGCAAACAGCAAGCAATTTCCAATTGCAATAATGGACTTCATAATTTCACCTAGAGCCTATGATGTCAATGTAACTCCTGACAAAAGAAAACTATTTTTTTCTGATGAATGCTCCATATTGCGCTCCTTAAGAGAAGCTTTAGAAAAGATATATTCACCTGACCTTGCTAGCTATTCTGTGAATACATTGGAGGATATCACACAAGAAAAACATAATTTGAAGTCTTATTCCCATCATGGGAGGTCAGAAGAGCTAAGATTAAAGAAAATTTTTTCTGATGGCACTGTTTCAGACGGACAATCAGACAGCAGAGAAAAATCTGCAGGTGGTGAGATTTTGAGAACAGTAGAGGAGGACATTGGCGGTTCTCCTGATGCAGTGGTTATGCAGAATAATGAGGTCAGTTCAACCACAAAGGACTTTAGGCTAAGATTTCATTGTACAGAGAAAAATAGTCAACACTGTGGGAGTCCAGAGAAGCAACTTATGGATCTGACAAGTAATGTGACTGATAATCATGCTTTGCTATGTCCAAGATCTGTGGAAAAAGGCAGTAACAAAGAGGCAAGTTTCATGGGTCGGTCAAATATTATGCAGTCTTCACTTACCAAATTTGTGACAGTGAATAAGAGAAAGCATGACAGTATTAGTTCGCCTCTGTCTGAAGTACCAGTACTCAGAAATGGATCTATCCAATCAACAGAAAACAACTCTGCAAAACACAAAACATTCTCAAGACCTGCAGAGGACTATAATATGGTTGACGATTCTGATGAATCTAATAACAATAGGTCAGAATCTCCAGCTTTGTCTAAATTGGACAAAATCCTTAATCATATGAAGAATGTGATTCCCAACTCAGAAAGAAAGCCCCGAGGAGAAAACATAGAGGTACAAGAAGATCTGAGCTTCCTTTTTTAAATGTTTCCTCATCATATTTTTTTCTGAAAAGAAATCCTACGTCTAACAGTAAAATAATGTCAACATTATCTCCCATATTGCATGTCTCACTGTTACTTCAGACATTCTCTAAAGCAATAGACACATTTTCAGGAAAAAAACGGTGAAAAGAAAGAGTTGCCCTCTACTGGTTCTGAATTAGATGCTTCATATAGCAAGTACTTTCCAGATGTGTCAGAAGACATCACAGATGCCACTCCACAACAACCTTATGGTGTATCATCTGATTCTCATAAGGTTTCTTCTGACTCAAAGATTGGTCCTACCATGCAATTTAGTTTTAAAGACTTGATGAAAAGAAGGAAACAGAGGCTGGCAAGATTACAACTCAACGCTACTGCCTCTAGACACATGGAAATGCAAAGGTATCCACCTAGTGAACTTCCTCTCAAGCAGGAAATGTATTATGCTCATTATTCTTAAATAATTCCATATTTTGTGCTACTTATAGGGGTTATGCTGCTGCATCACTGGAGCTCTCTCAACCTCTTAACGAAGAGGGCAAGACAAAAGCTTTGGCTGCTGCAACCTCTGAGTTGGAAAGGCTGTTCAGGAAAGAAAGCTTTGCTCAAATGAAGGTTTGAGGCTCATTTATCTTAATATACAACTAGAAATATATTTGCACGAGTGCTGGCATTGTACCTAAACCTCTGCTTGGTTTATTGAAGATTATTACCTCTATATATTATTACCTTTGTGGTTATGACTTTCTGCTCCAGATACTCATGTAGAGTAACAGAGTCAAAGTTTTTTGTACTTTTGATGGTACAATGTTTAATATACTTATCTATCTAATCTTTTTTTTTTTTTTCCTATTCTGGTTACTTTAGGAGTGGCCTTTCAACAATCAACATAATTGTATATCCTATTAGCATTCTTACAACCTTCCATTTCAAACATTTTACTATTTCTGTTTATAACTCCTTTTCATGACTGCTTAACATGAAGTTTGGTTTATCTATGCCCACTAAGCAAAAGGTTTATTAGGGAAGTGCTTTCTACAAATAATCTGATGTGGAAAGAAAATGTTTTTAATACTTATTTCTGGTCATCATATTAGCACAAGAGCGGGACTCCTTTTTCTTCCTCATTATTATCATTTGTGTTGCTGTTGTTGTGCTTTTCTTTTTTCATTATGCTGGTAGTTGTAATTCAGCACCAATTCTCACAAGGTTCTACCGTGCAGGTCATTGGGCAATTCAATCTTGGATTTATCATTGGCAAGTTAGATCGAGACCTTTTTATTGTTGATCAGGTAATGTCCCTACTTCTTTCTTGAGTACTATAAAATAATAAGCTCATTTTCAGTATCAAAGTTTTGATTAGCCTTTTGGATTTCCTTTGTGGTGGTAACTAATTTATTTTCTTTTGAAATTTTTTTCTGTGCTGCTCTCTGTTATCAGCATGCCGCAGATGAAAAATATAACTATGAACGATTATCAGAGTCAACAATTTTAAACCAGCAACCTTTGCTTCGGTGAGGATACAGTTCTGTTGGTTTTTAAGTTTTTCAATTGCATGTTTTTAGGAGGACAACATCTAGGGCAGGTTTAGCCATTCTCTTCTTCTCATTCATGAATTTGTCAATTTAGTGATTATTGTTCTGCACTTTGAATAATCTTGGTTGATCAGCTAAATCAATGAAAATGTTGACATTTGTAATAGCAAAAGTGAATAGTTAACAATCCTTGTTTATGCATTGGGAAGGTACCGATTTCTGATGGCTTATAATGTCCCTTTTTTACCCATTTAATGTTATAGGCCCTTGAAGATGGATTTATCTCCTGAAGAGGAAATAGTTGTTTCCATGAACATGGACACTATAAGGTGTGTATGGATCTGGATTTCCCCTATAGTGAATTCTTATATACCAAAAATACTCTGTGAATAATAGCCCTCTAGCAATTAGCACTGATATTCATGAATTGCTATATACCTCATTATTGTGACATCCTTCACTTTCACATCCAAACTTAAAAATGATGCTCTGTTTTACTTTCTGCTTATCACTTCTTTTTCTGTACCTATTGATTTAATCTTCCTAGTGAGCCCCTCTTTTGATCACTAATTGCTGACATTTCTGGCTTATTTCACAAGAAGTTTAGTCAGATTTTATTGTCTATGTTTCCATTCCATTGAATTTTTTTATGATACGAACTTTGATTCTAGACCAATGTAATTGTTTTCATCTATACCATCAGGAAAAATGGGTTTTCCTTGGAAGAAGATTTGCATGCTCCTCCTGGGCTTCGCTTCAATCTAAAAGCAGTTCCTTTCAGTAAAAACATAACTTTTGGAGTTGCAGGTATTCATCATTGTATCTCCTGTATATATAAATGATATTGCAAGGATGTAGCATTCTTTTAGGCAATAGTACTTGCATGCAGCATAGGCGCATAGCCGCATAGCATATGCAGCTATGCACCCTATCTGTGACGTTCAGGTAGTATTGCGGTGTATTTTACCATCTGAAGTTTAGTTCATTACACATAAACAGGAGTTGCAGCCTTGTATAAATATTTACCCTTTTAGGTGACAGCAGTGTGCCTGTTTGTGAACAATGTAGCCTGTGTAACATCTGATGAGTGATCCCAGATTTGGTTGGTTTCATCTGCAATTTGCAAAAGGGGATTGTTAAGAGTCCACATTGATAAAATAAGACAAAACATACGAGTTTATAAGGCCATGGGTTAGACTAGCTAATTGGTTGGATTCAATATATAGCCCAATTGAGTGACCCTATCCCAATCTTAGATTATAGCAAGAATATTTCAAGCATTTTCGAGAATCTGATTGATGGTTTTCCCTTTTAACCATGCAGATGTGAAGGAACTAATTTCTATTCTTGCCAGCAGCCAAGAAGACTGTCATATCACGCTTAGTTACAGAAAGGATACATCTGATTCAATTTGCCCCCCTAGAGTACGTGCAATGTTAGCATCACGAGCTTGCAGATCATCTGTTATGATTGGAGATCCACTGGGGAGAAATGAGATGCAAAAGGTACATTTTTTCCTCATAATTCCTTCTTCTTTACTTAGAGACAAATTAAACACTTCTTTAGAGGACTCGTGTTGTGTGTCAATTAAATACTTAAAAGTCTCTTCATCCTTCTAATTATTTCAGATACTTGAACATTTGGCACACTTGAAGTCTCCTTGGAACTGTCCGCATGGGAGACCAACGATGCGTCACTTGATTGACTTGACCACTGTACATAAAAGGTTAGATCCAGATCCAACATTGTGAACCCTTTACTTGTGTTGTACTGATCCGACCTAAAATACAAAAGGGGAATCGAATCAAGAAGGCTTGCAAAATGTTTTGTCCCGTAAGTTATGCACTGCCACCAACTTATTTTGAACCCTGTGAAATAGGTGAAAATTTTGTATATACAATCAGTTTTTGAGTTGCATGGATGTTATTGTAGTCTTTTTCAATGTAATCAGGTAAGAAAAGAGCCTGCAACCCATTATCCGTTACATATTTTTCCTCCGTAACTCAACCGTGTGAATTCGGATATATTTAATGGGAAAAGTACTGATGAGCCTGTTAGATAGTTGTATATATACCATGGATCATAGTCTATATTGTAAGGTAGATCATTAGTAAACAAGTAAGTTCATTTTTAATATATTATATATTTATTTTTTGAATGTTTATTTTTAATAAGATAGATTATTAGTATACAAGCAAGTTCATTTTTAATATATTATATATTTATTTTTAGTGTATTACAGATTCAATTTCATTTTTAATATAAAAAATGCCGTGAACTCCCATATTCTACTCAATTTTTACTCACACACGCCTGCCATACTAAGAGTAAAATTAAAGTAAGATTTGAAAGTGCAGGTAGTAAAACTCTTTTAATATACTATCTAAATTTGCCAGATATCACAATTCATTACTGTATAAGTGCAACATTCGGAAGTCGAGAAAATTTTGTGAGAACCCGAAAACCAAAGCCCACTCAAACTACAAACTACTAAAACTAGGAAAAAGATACTTGTCTCAAGGAGAAATGAATCTACTCTAAATAAACATGACTGAAAAAAACACATACATACACACACACGCACACACAGGGTATAAACTACTTTACAACAACATAAGTGCTGCTAATATGGAGAATGCCTCTTTTTCAAGTGTGGTTTTGGCGATTTCAAAGCTAGAGTGCTTGAGATCCATGATCGGTTCATATCAGCTGATCTGTCAGACAGCCAACAACATAGGCGACCATCTTCACCTCCCGTCCATCCAAATATGCCTTTGTTTTGAGTGATTCCAGCGGGCAATCTGGACACTGGCACCACACTCCTAACTACACCTTCATGTCCACCTTGTAAAACAACATCTGGGGGCCCAATTGCTAGAGTCCCTTTGTAACCTATGGGAAAGTATCCTATTGTGCCACCATTTGTCCCGCCTACTGCCCACAGGCGGTCTTCCTCGACTGAGTAGTGGCAATCAATAAAATAGTCCACCTGCAATCACCAATACAAGTGAGAGCAATTACGGAGTAATATTATCCAAGACCATGCCACTAGGTGCAATTCTTTCGGCGTAAGTGTAACACTCTTAGAATTTACATTTTACAATATATTTGTTGGCTTTTATATGGTACAGAAATAGGGTACTAAGATAGACTGGGGTGAAACTTCTTTGCCTTTAGAAACAGAAGTTTGTTCATTTTTTTTTCTTGAGATTGGCAAAATAAACCACAGAATGGAAAATAAAAATCTTGCTCTTGAAACAATATTAACAACTACAGAAATTTAGATTCTGCCAAACCTGATCTAAAATCCAGTTTTTGGATGCCAAAGACCGGGCATCGTCAAATGTTGCTTCGGCCCTTTCATCTTGCCAGTCCCAGACACTACAAACAATGTAAAGCATAATATATCCACTGAGTCTTTGCAAGCCAATCATAATTATGTCTAGCAACTAAAAATATATTATGATCTTGAGTAAATTATCATGAAAATATCCAAATATGCTCTGTGTGTAACATACCTTAACGTTTCTATATGAGTTAAACACCAAAGTTTTTTATTTGTCTCTCCAAAAAATCCAACTTTTCCAATTGACGTCCCAACATTGAGCACCTGAAGTTGCAAAATTTTGGTCAGACAAAGTTGAATAAATGAAAAGCAGAAAAAATCTATATTCATAGAAAGTTTTAAAATGTGAGATTGCAAATTCAATATGTTTTCAGGTATAGATATTAGATCTGATTACAATGCTAGTAATTACCCATTCTTTAGGAACATGGATAACAGAACAAAAGGTAATGAACTAATATATCCAATTACTTACTGAGGCCAAATGATCATCATCATTGATATCCCCAGCAGTATCAAATAAACACATCAATCCATCAACAGAAGCAGAAAGAAGCTTGTTTTGGTGGCCTGGAATAAATTTAACCTATTTGCAACCATGAGAAAGAACCACTTCAGGAGAAACAACAAAGCAATCCAAAATCACAGCAAAGATGGGTTAGAAGACTGAGAACCATGTTATATAGCAAACAAAAAAAAAAAAACAAAAACAAAAACAAAAAAAAAACTAGATATTCCTAAGTAGAATAACTGCCCGGCAGTAAACAAAACATACTTGAGTAACATCCTCCATATGAGATTCATCCAAGCATGCAACCTGCTTTTGGGTCCTCCAGTCCCAGAAGAGTATCTGCACAAGAACATTCAGATGAACACAACATTGTTTATATTGGAGAATACTGGAGACAAGTTTGCAATATGGAAACAGTCTGCACCAGAATGTGATCTTTTACTCTTGATTGTCAGCACTCAGCAGTTTATACATGAAAGTTCACATACAAAACTAAATTAAAATGCATCACAATCCAGTAGAACATGGATTTAAATGAATAGGCCTTATTATATGGGTATTACTCTTAATACTAAGCAATAATCTTAAAACTCTACTTGTTCTGGCACTGGGAACCCAAAAAACAAGTACATAACTACATATACTGTATATACTCCCCCAAATCATTTGTAAGAAAGGAGATTCCTTTTACGGTATTGGATAAGTAAGCATTAAACAGAAGTTTTCACTTCCAAGTAGCTTAAAGAAACAAGTCCCTCATTTACGGGACAGTGCACCTGAGAGTTACACCCTGCTGCAACAAGATTATCAGCTGCTCCCCCAAATGAGAAGCTGAATACCTCTTGAGAAGCCCCCGCATTTATGCAAGATACCTGCATTAATACATTTGATTAAAACCACAAAAACCTTTTGCTAAACAGATATAAGAATGTGTGAGTGGAAAGAGAGAGAGATGGCAAACCTGGTGGAATGACCTAGTGTCCCAAGCTCTGATGGTGCCATCGGAAGAACAAGAGTGCAGCACATGCGGAAGTGAAGGACTCGCCGCAAAGGAAATGTGATTGATCGTTGAAGTGTGACCTTTACATTCCCCCAAATACTGTCCACTCACCGGAGAGTAAAATTTCACGGCGTTCGTCGAGAGTGACACCGCCATTGAGCTCCAATCTTCCCTGCAATTTCATTCAATTAACGCAAATTACATATCAAAAGCAAAGAAACAAAATGTCCAGTGGTGATAAAAATGAAGAGAACATACTTGGGAACGATTTCGAAGACGTAATCATCTCCGAAATTAGTTTGGATATAGTTTTTGAGTCCGACGCGCTTGAATGAGTTTGAGCTGGGGGTTGATTCTTCTTCCACATCCATCTCCACTGCTCCTTCCATCTCTCTTAGTTGATCGATGATAATGTTGAAGATGAAAGAAGCAGAAGCAATAACGGCGAAGGGTTCTGGTGTTTTGGGAAATTTATAATTTTTTCCATTGGGCCTGGACCACTAGCCAGCAGTCTTTCGTGGGCTGCATTGGCCGGCCCATTCATTCTTAATTCCACTTTTTTTTTTTAGGAAAATAATTCCACTTCTTAATTAGTCGGATCATGATGCACACAATAATTTGTCATTGTTGAGTGCATTATTTGATATATGTAATTTTTTTTATTTAAATAATTTATATGTGTGTAGCACCACGCATATTATCAATCATTAGTATATAGTATATATATGTTGTGTAAAGTAACTCCAACTAAGTTAGTCAGATAATTGGTTTAGTAATCGCAAAGTTTAAGTTCAGCACTTTGAAAAATTATTTATTAACTATATTAGTTTGGGTTGATCAGCTATGAGCAAGTTAAACTAATTTACTTCTTTGTGATACTTTGTCGACTAGAATCAGCAGAACACACTTCGAATAAATGCAATCTCACAGAAGACTTACTCTCATTTGTATGAGCATATGACAATACATAAAATCAATCAATGTATAATCAGGTACCAAACCGACAGCATAAAACTTTCCTAATGTTCTTCCAATCCCACATTCACCTCAAACCAATGGTGCAAAAATTGCGCCTAGGCGCTAGGCAGTGGCTAGCCACCTAGAATTTTGATATAATCACCATTCTAAGCAGTCGGCCGCCTAGGCACCAACTATGTCGCAACGGACTAGGCGGACGCGGCGGACTATGCGGTCTAGGCGGACATTTAGGCTACCGATTAGTTTAGGCTACCAGTTAGCTACTTTTTATATTTTTTTTAAATAAGTTATTTCACTCAGACTTATGCCGTTTTCAATATTTTAGTACTAACTATTAAAGTATTAAATAATATATAATTACTAAGTCTTAAATATATTTTTTTTCAAAAAAAAAAATCTTTTACATTAAAAAAAAAAATGCCTAGACGCCGGAGGAACGCCTAGCAATTTTAACCTTGCCTCATACTAACATCAATATAGATATTTCCACATTGTAGCAAAATGTTGAGCAATTTATCCAAGACTACATCATGTCGGAACAATGTTAAGAAACTTATTGTTTTTTAAGGAAAAATTCAATACAAAAGAGCACCAAATATTGTTCAACCAAATGCAGCGAAAATGATCATGTTCTCTCACTTAATTGCAGTCATCTTTACTGTTTCACGAATTTGTTGATGCTTCCATTTTACCTTCTCTAGACTCGCCATTCTCAGCAGCTTTTTCTGAGGCTGGATCAATGCCTTCTTGCTCTGCAGAAATGAATGGCAATTTAAGTTCGGCGATGAGTTATAAATGATTTGGAAGACATAGCAAATCAGAAATAAGGAAGTTTCAGCACCTAAAACTAAAGCAGCTTCTGGGAATGCATAAAGATTGAAGTCCAAGAAGCTATAATAAAACCTAGAAAACAAGAAAATATCGCAGACAGCAACCTAAGCTTAGCTTGAAAATTCAGTTACCTTCGTCGTCACTGTCATCAAAGTCATCCCCAATGGCCCCATTCCCAAAGTCCATGCCACCGAGGCCACCCATATCACCAAATTTCTGAGGGTAAACATTAATGAGAATAAAACATTAGAGGAGATACATAAACGTCAAACACCCATATGGCCATATCATGTAAACATAATGATGCGGAAATGCCTCACCGAGAAATCCATTCCGCCCATATCAAAGTCAGCAGGACCTAAACAAATCATAAAGGCATAACCAATCAAAATCCTGTTATTTTAAAGAAGGAAAAAGAGTTGAGAGATATTATCATATTACTACTATTGTCTTCATCTTCATCTGCCCACTTGTCCCAATCTACTTTCACATAGTGAGGCGGCTTTCCCTCAGCATACAATAGCCTGTTCCACCATTTCTTCTCTGCTTTCTCCAAAACACAAAAAATGTTTCGCAAACCAATATTTATCTTGCTTTCCTGCAAAATGAAATTGTAGATGAACAAAAAATACTAAAACCAATGGAATTCAACGATTCAAAATTTATATATCGCGTTCCAATCAAGAAAAGCTCATACCTTAATATTGACTTTGTCATTAAGTTCAAGTTTCAACTCATATAGATGGTTTTCTGCCCCAGCTGAAGCTGAGAATGTAAAAACCCCATCTGGCTCAAGATTCACCTTTGGCGTTTTTGCATCCGGCAGCAAAACAGAAATATAAACCTTATCGGCTCTCTGTGCCCATTTAACCTCAGGATGCCGACTACAAAATCAAAGATCCTCCTTAAACAATGAACAAGCTTACACCCACAATATAAAAAATAAACGGAGCATCAATATCAAACATTAAACAAATGATTTTCACATGTATGTCCAAATGCCTGTGCAACAGGAAAGCATCAATATGTACACAATGCAAGTGAAGGGAGAATGGGGAATCACAATCTTATTTAGAGCTGTATATGTTTTATTATGATTTACGACTCCAAAACCCATTAATAAACAGCATTTGAATAATGTTAGACAAAAGTCACAAAACTACGCAATAAACAGTGCATTAGCCAAAACCAATGGATAATCAACAAAATTTCCATAACGGATTAGGCATATCAGCAGATAAAACAAACCGAAATGACTGTCTCAATGATCTTATCCAATATCCAACTAGTTGAATCTAAGAGCAAGTGCATTGGCATAGATCATGAATCAAACTGCGATTCAACAAATGGATTCTCAGCTTTTTTCCACAGTGCATTAATTACATTGAAAAATGTTTACATTAAGCAGATGATAATGCGAATAGAGGCAGAAAGCTAGTAATCAAGACGACATAAAAATGCAATATTAAGATCATGAAAGCAAAATAAAATCAGAAAGTTGCATGATTACCTCATTTCTCTGTAAGAATCTACTGCGCGAGAGTAATGAAAACCCTAGTAACAGAGCGTACGGGGATGGCTCTCGAGTCAAGTCATCCGAATTCTGCAGTGAAAAACTGAAAAATGCTTATTTCCCCCTCATTTTCGTCCTGCTTAATATTACGGAAAAATTAAATTACTCATTAAATAAAACAAATAAATTAATTAATGGGTAAAAAACATTATTTGACATCTAAATGTCATTTAATGTTGTTGATATTGGTCAAATATGTCTAATCCGTTTGGCTAGACTTGTGGTAGTTAGCTGTATACTTTTAATAATAACTTCTTATTAGAGAGGTATCAATCATATTTTCTTTTCTTTTATATATATAAATCAAGTTTTTTCATCTTCATCCTATTATATCCTAAATTTTATAAACCCGTTTTCAATGTATATGAATGTAATCAATATAACTCAATCACATTTCCAAACATATATTAAACATATTGGAAGACTTTTGGATGTAAACACTCAAGACGCGATTTTGTTATACTATAGACTATGATCTACTTTACAATATAGACTATTGACATAATGTACGTTTTTCATATATTAAAGATACATTTTATTTTTGTTTGAAGAGTAAAGATACATTTTTAATACATTAAATGTTCATTTTTTAATGCACGTTATTTGTGTACTGATTGTTCATTATTTAGTATACTACAAAATAATGAACATTCAGTATATTAAAAATAAACATTTATTTATGACATTGCAATATAAATCATAGTCTACAGTATAATTTATCCTCAAGACGTAGGCCAACATGGAAAGTATAAGTATGTTCTACTAAAAATCTTCACATATAAGCTTCTCTTCAAAGTTTGCCCCATTTTATTTTATTATAGGGAAAATGACACTTTTTCCCCCTAAGTTATATATTTATAGCACTTTTTCCCCCTCAATTATTTAAGTGGCTCTTTTTTTCCCTGAAATGTTAAATGGACATATTTACCCTTAAAATAAATTTTCATTTATTTTTATTCTCCAACAAATTATTACTATAATTTGGTTCAAACCAAACAGATACTATAGCAACCAAACCAAAATATTCCAATTACAATTTATAATCAAAACGCGATATTTAGAGTTTATTAAAATCGCGAACCGGAATGACCGGTTCATATTCCGAACTGAAAAAATAAAATACATTTATTGTTGAATTTAGACTATTTTAAAATAAAAAATAAAATTTTAAAATAAAGACGGTTCAAAATCGCGAATGGATCCGGAACTGCCGGTTCACGGTTCATGATCCAGTTTTTTTTTTTAATTCTTAAATTTAATAAATTGAAATCAAAATATTGGGTTCTAGATCTGAATCACAACTGGAAATTTTTAATTCGATTGCTATAGTGTCTGGTTCAGTTCGAACCGAACCGTTGTAATCGCTACATATACGCAATAATTTGTTGGAGAAGTAAAATAAATAAAATGCTTACTTTAAAGGTAGAAATGTCAATTTAATATATTTGGGGAAAAAACCACCACTTTTAAAATAATTGAGGGGGCTAATGTGCTTACATAAATAATTGAGGGGGAAAAAGTGCTATAAGTATATAACTTAGGGAGAAAAAGTGTCATTTTCCCTTTATTATATGTGTCCCCATTTGAATCTTTAATTTTTTTTAAACAGTATGATTGTGCTATAAATTTGATTGATTAGTCAATTCTGATTATATATATTATGAGCAAGTGTAAAGATGAGCTTGTTTATAGTGTATAGTTATAGCTGATTTTGTTGAACAAGTACAAAATATAATATATAATTCAAGTTTTTAATACATAGTCTATGATATGGTATTGAGTATTGGGACCAGAATTATTCAAAGTTGTTACTAGTTAAACATGTCATTATCATTCATGTGTAGCATGACACACAACCCTACTTCTCAACTTTCACCAAAAATAAATAATAAATTATTATAGAAATATAATAGATATTATGTGAGACAATTTCGTAAAACATGTAATATTAATTAGCATAGGTGTATTTATGCGTAAAAGAGATCTTCAACATCGATGATTTGTCAAAGTCGTTGATTGGATAATCACTTGAGCTACCACGACAAGTCTGTAATGAGACTAAAAAACTAGAGTTTTAATGATCTCAAGTTGATATTGCATATTTTGGAAGACCTTTCGGAAATATTTTATCTGTTATTGATTTTAGATCTTGTTAGATATATATAAATACTGAGATCCAAATTTTAATGATTTGTATTAACTTAATATATTTTTATTGTCGTTTTATTTTATTTTTCTCGTATCAAACTATCAATATATATTATTCCAACCCAATTTAAATATCATTTTGACAACTAGAAAAACAGACAAATAAACGTAAGAATTTAATTTTTTTTGTCATTTTGTTTAGTCGTCTAATTTGTATTTTAACTTTTTCAATGATTGAGAAGACGGCACTGCATTTACTCACCTGGGAGCTGGGACTGCATTTTCTCACCTACCTCTGCGTGCTCATCAAGAAAAACACTGTTTTCATGGTACTACAGAATACAGATTACAAAAAATTAATATTTCGTAATTGTGTCACATGATAAATGTGATACCGTCTTACAAATTAAGAATCGTGAGATGGCTTGAATCGGATCAATATTAAATGTAATACTTATACTAACCAATTTAATACTGATTATAAATAAAGTGTTTATTGTCTACAAAGAAAAATATAATACCTTTTATGAAAAAAATAATAATACTTCTTTTTAGTACTACTGACTATGTTACACTGTATTATCTGTTCAAATATACTTTTACATCTAAATGTAAAAGTATTACGGTCTTTTTTTTATTTGTTCTCAAAATTATTACGTTTCTCTTATAAGCAATAGACACTTTATTCTTAATTAGTATTACATTTGCTAGTATAAATATTACATACATTCACATATTGATCCTACCCGTCGCACGGACAAAGATTCGTAAGACAATCTCACACAAATTTTTGTCTTAGTAATTTGTTTTATAGAAAAATTCACCATCACTATCTAAATATGCTAATAGGTTATGGGTAACGTTCACAATAGATAATTCTTGTAAAAGTCAAACTTAAAATTTTATAATTGTTAAAGTTAATTATCTAATTATCTTGACTGAGTTACTTCTAAATAGTATTTGGTAATGGAATTCCGTGTCAACATTGTATTCACTCACACTATTAATGAATTTACCCATCACATATTCAAATAATCTACTTGATCTATATTGTCCACCATTATAAATATTCATCTCCATAAATTTTAGGAATAATTATAAATTATAAATAAATTTATTAAAGTATCAATTACACATAACGAGTTTAGATAATGGATGAATTTCTACTACCACCATCATTTCACTTGACATGCAAGTGGGGAGCGCTATACGCCTATACCAATACCATTAACCATAATACTCCGTGCATCATTGGACAATGATATTTTTTTCTTAGAGCAACCATATCTGTTAGATTTTTGCACAAATTTTTAAAGAAGTCATATATGAGAGAAATAAAAGTGGGAGAAAAAAAAAAGGAAAAAAAAAACTTCGTTCTGACAATTAAAAAAAAACAACAAAAAAATAATATGTCAGTTAACGGTCACTCCAAATGCGCGAAATGTGCTCTTTTTTTCCCCTTCTCTTGCAAAATTCTTGTATTTGTAGGAATTTTGTTTTTCAAAAAGACCAACTATCCCGTTTCTTCACACCATGTCAATTTTTTTCTCTCATGATGTGGCTTAAAATCAGGTGGTGCACATGAATTGAGTGGACCCACCATTAATTAAAAAGAAAATGAATTGTGGAAAATTTAAGGGGAAATTTTTAGAGAAATAGATAACATTACTACATAATTGTAGTATCACACTATCACATATAATAAATCTACAAAGAATGTCAATATCATTCTTTATCAGACACCACATATGTCTCTTCTTGCCTTAATGTAGGCACGTAGCTAAAGGAATCTGTTGTCTTCGAATCAGTTTCAAAACGAGACAACCATATAGGGTTAGCTGATTGTGTTCTTCTTTCTTTTTTTTTTTTTTTTTTTTTTTTCAGTTGGTTTGATTGTTCATTTTAAAGTCTTGCTTAAAAACACTGTGGGAGTTTCAATCGAGAGATTTTGACCGATCAGAAGAGACAAAATGAGACGACTCATAATTTATCTTAAGATGTTATGATGAGGTCTTATGACATGATTAGTCTAATTAAGTTGAGACACACTTAATGTATTAAAAAAAAAAGTGTGCCGTCACGTACTATTTGAGGTTGCATATGAAAATAATGAAATAAATTTCGTTCTTGTGTAATAATATACAAATTATTAAAAAAAAAAAAAAACAAAAAAAAAAAAAAAAAAAACTATACTACGAAGAATGGACCATAAGTCGATGCCAAAATCGTATAATGTTTATTTTTTTTTTCCATTTAATAGGAAGAAAAATGACAACGACTGATAACGAATGCGTATAGTATGTAGCCTTGTTTTATTTCATCTCCTCATCTACTTTATAGTTACAGTTCAACTCGCACTATATTTAAACCGCAAATGGGATATATTCCGTAGCCGCATTAATGCACAGTGCATAGTATTCTACATTTATTATAGTTAGAATTTATGATTCATGTTGGGGATGCCTTTATGTCGGTCTCAATGCTGCATAATAAATATAGTTTTATTAACATCAGCCATACATAACATGCGGCATGGAGAAATTTATATGAAACTTTGACCGGGCGTTTGGTTGGAGAGGGGGAATTACGTGGAAAAAGATTTGTAATTTCATGAGAGATGAATTATTGAGAATAAAGTGGGAATTTAAATTTTCAATGTTTGGTTGATAGGAATAGGTAGAATTACTGGGAATTTAAATTCTAATGTTTGGTATACATGGAAATTGAAAGGGAATAAGTAGTATAAAGTCCAAAATGTCCATTATTGTTGTCAAACATTAATTTTAAGTTTTTAAAAAAAAAGGAGGGGTAATTTTGACTCATCATTATCTTTTTTCTTCCTAAAATCCCAAGAATTAAAATACCAGGAGGGACATGGGATTTTAATTCC